GATTGGTATCTATACCCTTACTGGCGCTCTCATTTATGCATTTGTCGGTTCAGATGTCAAGTCGCCTGCTCTTCTGTCTGCTGGTCCTACCATCTCCAAGATTGCCTTTGGTGTCGCTCTTCCTGTCATCTTCATCTCTGGATCTATTAACACCACAGTCGTCGCTCGTTATATCCACGGACGTATGTTCAAGAACTCCATCATCCGCTACATCAACACCAAGATGGGATGGATCACTTGGTTGGCTCTCGTCACTGTCATCACTGTTGTGGCTTTCATCATTGCCGAGGCCATCCCCTTCTTCAATGATCTCTTGTCCATTTCTTCGTCCCTGTTCATTTCGGGCTTCACATTTTACTTCCCCTCCATTATGTGGTTTATGCTCATCCGAAAGGGACCTTGGCACTCAAAGGAGAACCTTCTTCTCTCCATTGCCAATGGACTCATTTTCATTATCGGCATGATTGTTCTCGTTGGTGGAACATATGCTTCAATTGACGATATTGTAAGTTACTCCCAGTCACTGCGATTGAATCTCGCTAACATTTCCAGATCCTCAAGTTCCGTCACGGCGAAGTCCGAGGTGTCTTTACTTGTGAACCAATTGCTTAAGCGATATGGATATTTTAGCGATAGTACATTATGAATAGTACAATATTATGACTCAATTATTGGACCTCGGAGTTGCCGGAATTGGATCGTGATGATCAAATTTTCCTGAGCGTCAGACGTTTACGTCACTTGACCTGGACCGTAAATGCGACGAATTGTGATTGGTGCGCAAATGTAATCGTTCGATTGGTCAATGGCACGATAAGATAAGTCTCGGCGAATGATCCTTGATGCCGAGTCTTGGCGTCATCTAGACTCGGTCCCAAGCTACGAATTGACTGACCATACTCTGTACACGGAGTCAGATGGTTTTTCAAGAATATCGTGGAATCAGCAAATACTTCATCACAAGAACACCCATCTGATGAGGCGATAATCTGACTGCAATTCACAAAGGGATCAGCACACAATTGAAGCAAACAAACATTATTATAACTAGGCATGCTATTAAACACCCCGATCCTGGCAATACTTGTCAACCTCCTTCTTCAACTGAGCCTTCTTGGTCACAACATTATCCATAATCTTCTTGACCAAGATATAATCCTCGTGAGTCAAAGATCCCCCACCACTCCAAACTCCCTCCTCCAAAACAGCCCAGAGACCAGATCCCTTTGCAACCTCCTCCATCAGATCCATAACAGCAGTGAGCTGGTTAGGCAACCAAGTAATGATCGGACTTCCACCTGTAGCTGTAGGATGAAGAGTGTGCTTGATGATGTACTCGCGGGTGAACATCCAGTGTCGCCATCGGAAGCTTCGAATGTGATCGAGGACGCGGAGATACAGCACTGCAAGACCGTGATCGCCGGATTTGGTGAGGAAATCGCGGACACCGACTTCGTTTGCTGTTTCGCGGACATACTTGAGGAATGCGCGGTGAGGCTTGGGTCGATACTCTCTGAACTCGATGAGGATGTCTGTCAATGGGTTCTTGGGCATGGGGATCTCGCAGATGTGATCGAGAAGAGGAATGATGGCATCGTTTGCACCAGACTCTCCACGGAAGAATTGAGGCTTGTCGTCATATTGGCCCTCGTAGACAACACCATCAGGGAACATGGACTGCTTGGTGATGCCGTAGATGAATGTTCGGTAGGTCATGTAGTCCTTGGGCAGGGACTGACTCCACATGCCCTCCATGTTTGTCTCAATGATCTGCATGGCATTGAGAATGAGTTCCAGGCTTGCCTTGGCCTCGGCGATCTTGGCAGTGCTGTTGTCTTTCTCAACAGCGGCTAGCAGATCAACAGCGCCTTCAATTAGGCCGCCGGTCTGGGCGACCATGTGGATGTGAGTGAGGATGAAGCCGGCCTCGGACGACTTGGGGTCGAGACCCTTTTCGAAAGCGCGGACGAGACGGATGTTGTCGTAGTCATCGTGCCCTTGCTCGGGATGAACGAGCCAGTAGTTGTAGAGGGCATAAGAAGCAGCATAGGACATGAAAGCGGGGATGTCGAGACTAGATCCTGGTCAGCGAGATCAATTGACTGAGTGGTCGACTTACATCTCTGCACACTTGACAAGAGGTCCAGCGATACACTTGGGAAGTGTCTGACGTCCAAGTCCATAACCGCCATCATCACTCTTGCTATAAGTCTCCCAGCAAGGTTCAAGGAGATACGAAGAAGCAATGAAGCTATAATCTCTAAAGGCAGCAGTGATAGCAGCCATATCTCTCTTGTCCGTCCCAGGAACAACGAGATTATCAATCTCAGAAGTCAAATCAGGGAGAGCACCACTGTCAATCAGAGGTCCAAGAGCAAAAGTCGCCAGCAATCCTGGAGTGCCATCTTCCTTGAGGATAGGGATTTCGTCAAGAAGGTTTGAAACAGGATCGAATTGAGAAGGGAGTCTCTTCAAAGGAAGTGAGAAGGGGAGATATCCTGTGCGAGTTGTGATGGTGAAAGGATCTTCACCCTCTGGTAGTTCAGAGGGGTCCTTGCGGAGGTATGGGAAGAGTGTGTTTGCAGCAGACATTTTGTGTGATTTGACTTGGATTGATGATTGATGGCATATGAGTGAAGCCTGGCCGACACCGCGTCTATATACATTGAGGCCGGAATTACTATCGTGGCCGGAAGACTTTCCGGCCTTCGCCCTTTGTGAACAATGACAAGTATCCGATGATACCCTGGCCAGTTTTAGTTCCATGGCTTGATAGCTGCCAATCTAAGAGATAGTATTGATAATGGTATCGTGGGGATTCCGAACTAACGGTACGCCCGGAGTTTGGGCCCGTGTTTGAATCCACATACCCCGCGATATCTAGATCCCTTCTAGAACCCTCGCCCAAGAGTATTCACGACTCGTACTCGTTGTTCACCGCAACTTGGCTATCTCTTACACAACAATAACTCCAACGCGCCCATGAAAGAATTCCAACAAGTCACGAGATCGGTATAACATGTTCATATGATCAAAAATAGCTTGTCCCAAAATCTCGGCAATCATTGTGGTGGAGGAGTGGAGAACCGCCTTGTCGTGACATCCGCCCTAGATTGACAAGCTAGTCGGCGCCTTAATCTGACAAGCTGGGGTAACACGAGAGATAGACGAGTAATTGACGAGCGATTGACGTTTCATTGATAACATTCTGTACAGTGTCGAGGGCTATCAGGGTGCGCCTTAGTTGGACATGTAGATATAAGCGGTTGTGTTTATTGGTCAATTGGGTGTTATCTTGAGGGATGTCGAAGGTTCGGAGGCTTTGATGTCGGGCCCCGAGATGTCAAAGAATGTTGATTGCATCCCTCTATTACGAGAGGTCTTGTGCCGGCCTCCCTCCAACTCCAGGAGTGGACCGACTGTGCGCAATGGGAAAATTGTCAATCTCATGGCCAGCTTCATCTACGTAGTATGCCTGCAATTATGATAGACATTCATTAAAAGAAAATAAATCTTGAAATGTCATGAAACTAAATAAAGCTGGATAAATGACACAATAAAACTGCCATTGACGCACGCTCAACTGACATCTCTACGAGGAGCCTCATCAAAAAGCTTTCTCAGCCTCTCATCCAACCACTTCACATCCTCCATGTTCCCAGGCGGTCCACCAGCCCAGTGTCCCCAAATAGACGGATAAACATCCAGACTAGCATTATCCCCCATACACTTGACCTCATACTCTGAATCCTCGGGCCTAAACAGTCAGCATCAACAACATCCACAAAACCAGGGAGTTACTCACGGAAAGTAGAGATCTGTCTTGCTGGGAAGAACCAAGATCCTCGCCTTGATCCCCTTCATCGCCTTCTCAAAGTCCCCATCATACGGCTTCTGTTGACTCACATCTCCCGCCTGCCATGTATGAAGCATGACGAGCAGATTCTCAGGGTCCTTGCTAAGCGCCCACTTCTCCCAGAAATTCTTCATAAACTCTTCAAGATCAGCTGCGCCGTAATGCTTCTTGAACAGTTCATATCGGTAGAATGCCTGAGAGAAACCCCAGCCTGCGTAGCCTCTCCCAAAAGCTTTCAACCCGACTTCTTTCTCCTTGTCGGTCCATTTGCTGTCTGTGGTTTCGACACGTCCTTGAGAACTTCCTGCAGACGTGCAGCCCTTGGCAGCTAAGAGCGCTGACTTGACGCCTTCGAGAAATACTTGGTTATGAAGAGATGTCTTGGCTGATCCGCAAAAGGGAACGCAAATATCCATAAAGTCGGGATATTGCGTAGCCCATTGGAACGTCTGTGCCGCACCCATCGACCAACCCAGAACTGCCCTCAGATGCTTCACCTCAAGATGACCCATCAATTGATGCTGAGCCTTGACATTATCGTAGAACGAAACATCAGGAAACGGACTGATATCCGAGTTTGACGGACTCGTAGACTGCCCATTCCCAAAAAGCGCCGTTATAATGATAAAGTACTTCCCCGGATCAAGAGTCTTGTCCTCCCCAATAAGCCACTCATTATCGGATATCGCACCCGAGAACCAACTCGGATAAAGAACAGCAGGGCGTCCAGCCTCCCCAAAAGTCTTGTACGCAATCACCGCACCCGGCAAAATCTTGCCATTCTGAAGCTCAAAGTCTCCGAGGGAAAAAGTCTCGACGTCCATGGTCATGGTTGTTTGTGGTCTCCTCATCTGCCGAGGACACCCCCATCTCATATACCCAATCTCGATACGGGCTGGAGTGTACAGTGTCTAGACTGTACCAGCGTCATGCTAATCGCGGGGTTTCGCCCTTGGGTGACAATGCAGCCACCTGCTTTATCAGGAATGTCACAAGACGAGCTTATCATTCTTATCTCGTGCGGAGATGAGATGCGGAGGCGTGCGGCGAGATAGTCTCTTATCTATCAACGACCGTTATCACTATTATAAGAAGATACATTTGAGACAATTGAAAACGGTCCTCAAAGTTTAAACCTCATACAATGCCTGGCAAGATCCGTACAGCTCAATCCGTGTCTTTTGACAAACCCGCCTCTGAGCAACCCCATCTCCACAACAGATGGCATCCAGATGGTATGTCCTCAATTGACCTGATTGACATCGCTAATTTGTAGTCCCGAGTATTGCAACCGTTGAACCTGGCGAGACGGTCAAGATAGAATGTCTCGACTGGACAGGCGGTCAGATTGGGAATAACGACAGTGCAGACGATGTTCGCGATGTTGACCTTACAAAGATCCACTATCTTACTGGTCCATTCGACATCAAAGGCAGTCAACCAGGAGATCTCCTCGTCGTCAACATAACCGACGTCCAACCCTTTGACCATTCCCCCTGGGGCTTCACCGGAATCTTTGCCAAAGAGAACGGCGGCGGTTTTCTCGACGAACACTACCCCACCGCCGCAAAAGCAATCTGGGATTTCGACGGCGTCTACTGTTCAAGCCGTCATATTCCCGGCGTGCGCTTCCCCGGGCTGATCCACCCCGGAATCCTAGGCTGTGCCCCATCTGCCGAGATCCTCGCAGAGTGGAACCGTCGAGAGGCAGAGCTCATTACTTCAATGGCTGATTCTACAAAGATTGTGGCTCAACCGCCGAATGAGATCAATGCACATGGTGGAAAAGCTACAGGTGATGTTTTGGCAAAGATTGCGAGGGAGGGAGCAAGGACTATACCTGGACGACCTGAACATGGAGGAAATTGTGACATTAACAATATTTCACGTGGATCTACGACGTATCTTCCTGTTCATGTTGAGGGAGCCAAGTTTTCTGTTGGAGATCTCCATTTTAGTCAGGGTGATGGTGAGATTAGTTTCTGCGGTGCTATCGAAATGGTAAGTCTCGACACTTGACATTGGATACTGTCCTAACAGTTTAGGCTGGTATCATCACGATCAAGTTTGATCTCATCAAAGGCGGCATGAAGTCGCGTGGTCTCAAGAGTCCAGTTTACAGACCAGGCGACATGGGACCTACCTTTAGTCCCTCACGCTACCTAATCTTTGAAGGCTTCTCCGTCGACGAGAATGGAAAGCAGCATTTCATGGATGCAACCATAGCTTACAGACAATCATGTCTCCGTGCAATCGAATACCTCAAGCAATTCGGTAAGTCACTTCCATTACTGTCAAAACACAACTGACGATGCAGGCTACTCTGGAGAACAAATCTACCTGTTACTCTCCTGCGCACCCATCCGCGGCGCCATCGCAGGAATAGTCGACATTCCCAACGCGTGCACAACTCTCGGCATACCGATGGATATTTTTGACTTTGACATTTCTATTGAGAGCGAGCCTGTTGCTAGAGATATGGGTGCTTGTCCTGTATCTAAGTAGGAAGTCCAACGTCTCGTTTAAACTCTTGTAGCCACTCTGCGTTGTCGACGGGGGTTTGGTTCCAAGGGTCGTCGCTATTTTGTTAGTAAACGAATCGCAATTAGCAGGAAACTTACTCATCGTATAATATCCATCGTGCTTGATACTTTAATTCGTCGTCGCTGGGTATATGTCGATTCGGATTGTTGGGAGACATTGTCGTCATGACGAATCGGGATAGTTCTCGTTTCAATCGGCGATAGCTGTTGTTGTCGTTGATAAAGAATGGTGTTTGTGTTCGCACTTTATCTCTTATCAATGCCCTTGACTCTGGCGTGCTGTGCATCGAGATCGCTGGTATTTCCGGTACTCCTTCAGGAGACAGAGATCGATTCTCAACCCAAGGCTGCAACATGTCCAGCTCCATCGATGCATCCAACGACACAGCTGTATCTGTCTGACCCCATAGAAAGTAAGAATCGTTAACAGACTCATTGGCCATGGCTACAAGAGTCTCAGCCCTTTGTCGAAACGGTTCCAGCCAGACCGTCGAACTCCAAACAAGCCTCATCAAAAAGTCCAGAAACCTCCTCGACGGATGCGATGACGCTGTCTCTGTCCGGTTTAAGACATTGCACGCCTCCTGCTGCAGTTCAGAATCCGTTGGAAAATGCCCCATAGATGTATGAGCTGTCATATACTGCTGCAGCGCCGCCTCCAGCTCACAATTCTCAAAGATATTTCCCTTTCCGTTGATCTTCAACTGACTCAATCGCCCCTCTGCTAATTGTTTCGTTGGTCGAAGTTTGGCTTGGGTGGCAATGTCAGTAGCTGACATGAACAAATCCCATAGCCAGGACGGGGATAACGATGCTTGGTTGGGGGAGGATATTTCTGCACCGAGGATCACGGAACATGCTTCAAAGTGAAGCTCGGGATCTGGCGGCATTATAAACTGGTGGCGATTCCGCATGTAATACTCTAGTTCGAGCTTGATGAGTTCGTATGCACTTGTTGGTGTATCTGCTGGGCCTCTTGTAGCTGCGAATGGAAGAGGAGAGTTTCGTTCATAGTGAATGAGGTCTGTCAGTGTTAGTAAGTACATGTTAATCTGTCTCGTGCACCTACAAGGAGGCATGGCGTTGTCAATCCTCTCAATGACCTTCCCTTCAAACCCCCAATCACCCTTCCAGTGCTCCATCGTACTCCCAGCTTTGAAATGGTCCGCCAAATGATCAACCCTACTAGCCCAAGTCGTAAGATTGATGCCGCAGAATCCACATCTCGACTTTACCTCTTGCGTCATGACTTTCCAATCATCCATCGGCCATTTGAGAAACTTGGACATGTGGACTAATCTCAAATGCTGCTGTAAATGGTCTTTTCGATGATATGTCCGTTCTTCGATCGGTCTTTCGATACATGCACTCTGATTATGTCCGTCAAGATGCGTCTTGTCGGGGTTCTTGACGCCACAAAAGACACAAAGAAGCCCCTCTTCTGGATGTATCGCTGTCGGTCCATTTGGTGAACAAACCCAATTCTCAAGCGATAAATGAAGAGATTTTTCATGACGCTGCCAATCGTATTTCGTCTTGAAGGTTTCTGTACAGAAAGTACACTGATATGTATTCTGCGCTTGGAGGAGATTAGTTCTGACTTCCTTTCTCATCTTTGTTCGTCTTCTTCGACTGTGCCGTTTAAAAATGTCGAATGACGTCGATGATTGCTTTGAATGAGCAGAACTGTACGACCCAGAATCATGACTCGACACTGACGTCCCTCTACTGCTGATTGACGACCCATGACTTCGTGATCTTCCCTGTCGCGTCGAGAACGCAGCAACAGCTCGTGAGATATCATCCACAGTCGCAGCCTCATGTTCCGGCGGTGAATTCGCCCATCGCTGCAGCGGATTCATATGCTCAAACGGCGCAGGAGTAGCCCGTCGTCGCGGTGTATCAATCGGCGTGTGATGCCCTGAAGAGTTCCCCGAATCGTCATTCCGAAACATAGGTGATGTCGGCCGCGACGAATGAACCTTTGCCCTCCTCCTCGCATTCGCGAACCAATTCGTAACCTGCTGTCTATTCAAACTCGTCTGCTCTTGAAGATCCTGGACATCTTGGATGGTAGGATACGGATGCCTCTCATGCGCGGCAAACCAATTCCTCAGAATCTTGACAGACTCAGATGAAAAGCGATTTCCGATTTTTGGAGGAGCTGTTGATGTCTGCAGAATGCCAGGGGAGATGGTTTCAGGCTCAGCAGCATTTTGAAAGTCTCCAAAGTCGATGAACAAATCACTTGTTGGGTCTGCCATGTTGGTGGTGATGGAATTTGGAGGTCATGGGGTTACGATGAGTTTACGGCGAAGTCTCGGACATGTCCAGAAAGGGCGGATCCACATTTCAGTCTTGATTGATGAGTCAGGATTGGCCCATTTAAAGTGAGAGACGCAAAGTTCATGATGTGCAAATTGGGGATAGTAAGAAGCTGTTGGTCTTGACACATAGACTAGCTAGTGTCAGGCGACGGAAACAAATAGGAATGGACGGTAGATCTGCTGGCAGGGTTCATGAGATCAGTCCCAAAAGAGCCTCGTTCTTGTCTGTGCGGTCGATGCGGAGGTGCGGCGTGAACCAGTGGGGGTGTCTCATCTACTTAATTGAAGCAACAAATAGGACAACTATTTGTGTTTAATGGCGACAGAATGGCTTATGGCTTTTATATGTGTCTGCCCAATTCCCGTGTCTATATGCCTCACACAGTTAGTGCATCCAATTCCGCGGAGTGGATCAGCGATGATGTGCTTTGATCCGAAATCACGTTTACGATAACAACGATATCGGAGATTTATCGAAAATGAAAATCAAAGCTTTCACTATAATTCTCTCAAGTCAAGCTCGTCAAAATGACCAGAATTAACGCGACGGAGACGACTCCTTTGATACCGGAGATTCCTCCCGAGGTCTCGGATGTCGAGAGGAACAGCGCCGATGAGCCGAAAACGTATAGCCATGCGTTTATTGCAAGAGTAGTTGTCGCGTTGCTGATTGGTGAGTCTCCCAGGCCTTGGAGATCGAAGCTAACTGTTCAGGCATCTTTACGTCCAACGCCGATGGGTCTTTGGTACTGGCTACGCATCCTGTGATTGCATCCGAGTTTGGCAAGCTTCAGGATTCGAGTTGGCTGTTTATCAGCTTTATGTTGGCTAGTGCCGCATCGCAGACGATTGTATGTGAGACTATATTCGGGAGGAATTGAGTTAATTGTGTAGTACGGAAAATTGAGCGACATCTTTGGGCGAAAGACGATATTGATCTTCTGCTATGGACTGTTTGCTATCGGATGGTGAGTCTAGACTGTACCCGATGAATTGGTCACTTGAATCTGGCTAACAAATTCAGTGCCCTCGTGTAAGTCTCTGTGCTTACGTATAGCCTCATCTAACAAACTTCAGAGGCGCTGGCCAGTCAATGTGGCAAGTCATCCTAGGTCGCGTAATCTCTGGATCTGGAGGTGCGGGAATGACTACAATGGCATCAGTCATCATAACTGGTACGACTCACCTTGATCTTGAGTATCAAGCTGACCATTAGAACTCGCACCTCTCCGAGAAGTCGCCTCATGGCAAAGCTACATGAACGTCATCGCCACCGTCGGTCGTAGCATCGGTGGTCCGCTGGGAGGCTTTCTCGCTGATACGATTGGCTGGAGATGGTGAGTCTATCTCTTTTCCAATAGCTTATGCTGACAGTGTAGGTCATTCCTGGGACAATCGCCAATATTCGCTGTATCCATGATTATCGCCGCAATCCTCCTCCCTTCTACAACACAGACCGAGGGTGCGACACTGGAACGCATCAAGAGGATCGACGTACTTGGAGCTCTCCTGTTGGGTGGCTCTGTTCTCGCTTTCATGGTTCCCCTTGAGATTGGTGGCCAGAAGATCCCGTGGAGTCATCCCCTCGTGCCAACTCTCGCTGCTGCGGGCGTCATTCTCTCAGCTGCTTTCGTACTCGTCGAGTCACGCTGGGCCAAGGAACCAATCTTCCCTCTTCGCTTGCTTCAAAGTGGCGATGTCACAAAGACGTATCTCATTGCGTTTGGTCAAGCAGCTGCACAGCTTGGAGTGAGTGTCCCAGTACCGTGAACTCGAGATGCTAACCGGTCAGATGATGTATACCGTTCCTATTTACTTTCAGGTTACCCAGCGTGTGTCGAGCACAGTCGCAGGCGCTCATTTGTTCCCTGCAGTTATTGGAAATACAGTTGGAGGCATAGCGACAGGCTTGATCATCAAAAGAACTGGTCGATACAAGGCACTCATCATCTTCTCGGCCATCTCATCGATCACCAGTTACGCTCTGATGCTACTTCGCTGGCATGGACAGACAAACTGGCTGGAGTCGCTCTACGTCTTCCCAGGGTACGTGCTCCTGTCTATCGAATTCTCCTGCTAACTATTCAGGGGCCTGGGAATGGGCATCGCCCAAAGCGCAGCGTTCATCGCCCTCCAAGCTTCCATCGATCCCAAAGACAAAGCAGCAGCCTCTTCTGGAATCTTCCTCGCTGTGACTTTAGGTTCAGTGGTCGGCATGGCTGGTACGAGTGCAGCCATTCAGGGCCTTCTCAGACACGACATCCAGCAGAACCTTGGCGATCTCGGAAAGTCTCAACACTTTATTGACGAAGTGAGTCATTTCACTGAGTTCGTGAAATCTGCTAAGTTTCTAGGTGATTCGAAAAGCTGCAGAGAGTGTCTCGTACATCGACGAAGCTTCCGAGCCTATCAGAAAGGTACTGGTTGAAGGTTATATCAGAGGAATCGAGTATGGTCACGGTAAGTAGATGCCACTTTGGTGAGACTTGACTAACGGGTTAGGCCTCTCCATCGTGTTCTCCGGGATCACGCTCGTGACTGCTCTACTACTCAAGGAGCGTAAACTTTGATAGCAGTAGACCTGTGATAAGAGACGAAAATTGAGAGATGCCTAGATTTACCAAAGATATCATAAATCTAAAATCTAGTTTATATAAGCCTTGACGCCGGTTCACAGAGGTGGAGTGTAAAAGGGTCTGAATTATGTTGGGAAACCTTTTGAGTTTGAGAGTGTTTTGATTATAGGCTTTGACATAAATGGAAGTTTGTTTGTTGTCCCCTGTGAATAACAAAGTCCATTTTATGACGATGTTTGATCGAATTTGCCAAAATCCTAATATGGGTAAGAGCTTGTATTGGTCATTCATCACCTGTGTTTGCAGCCTAAAGGTTAACCTTGTAGGCCGCAGTCAGCCGTAGTCAAAAACCTCAAGCTAAAAGTCTATCTTTGAACCTCGAATCAAGTGGCAGAGATGGAAGTAGTGACAGGGAAGTCAAGAGCAGTCCTGCTCTCATATGGCAATAGGCTTTTATGAAAAGTTGGTGAAAAGTATCGGGAGATTAATCCAGTGGCGATTGTGAGGGCGATGAGTATTTTGCCTGTATGTGTTTATTGGTGTCCTTTACCTTTGTGGCCTGGGGGCTGAAGCCTCTTCTAAACCCTGACCTTACGCCACGCCAGTGAGCCTGACTCACCAAAGGAATGATTCCGCATATAAGTAGAGCTCTTCTCCCATGATCAGCTGGATTTATCTCTTCCCTCTAAACATCTCACAGGCACTCTCTGCTCGTTATCCACAGCAACTTTAAGCAAACTCAAGAACCTCCAACCACCCTCTCTTCTCTTATCACAATCACAGAGATACTCATCCTGCATCTCCTATCCTACAAACCTATACAACAAGTCAAGCACTTCCTCCCACAAACAACATGACTTACGAACAGACCTGTCTCATGGCTTCCAACTTGGATCAGATAAAGCACATTAAAATGAACATGACTCCCGAGGAAGAACGCAACACTCGAATCATGGCTTGTGACATCCAGCGCTTTTATGAATGCGTCCGACGAGAAAAACATGTTTTCCGCCGTTGGTTCTCTCACTATGAGATAAACTTGGCCAAGTTTCTTGAGCCCCATTGCGCCCTGTACAAGAATGAACGCAACTGGCCAGAGACCTGGTTCGATAAAGAGCGAGAGCTCATCAACGACCTTAATACCTTTCTACAAATGGCAAAGCAGCTCCTGCAGCAGTGGACACGGGATGTAGCCACCCAGATCCTCAGTGTCCGAAACACTGCCCTCAGCAAACTATTCACCGCCGAGGATGTCTCTCTCGCAGCCAAGCTTGAGCCTAGCTCGCTGGATGGCAAAGTTTGTCCCTTGGACTGGAAGCAGAGTCAAATGCCTTTTGATAAGACTCTGTCAAAGTTCCGATTTCTGGCCAACGACATGTTGCAGGAGAAGAAAGGCGGACCTACCATGGAGCGACCTGGTCATCCGTGGACCAGAATGGAGGGTTTTGACATCTTGAACTTTATGATCAAAGATGCAGAGGATCCTGACTATGAATCCGAGGAGGAAGACCTGTTTGAGGATGAGATTGTCCCATTCGATGGGTTTTACTAGAGACGAGCAGGGTCTTTAGCGCGCTGGTATTCTGAATTGGCCTGTTTGGGGTTGGCTGCTTTCATCTCGGAGCTTGATGTCGACGTGTTTTATCAAAAGAGTAATCAGACTTGATACATTGCTTAATATGCTGGTGCTTTGCTCCTTTTCTTACAAATTCATCTATGAGTTGTCTCAGAGAGTAACGAGTGATTGCCAATAGTATATGTGAGAATTTACTAGAGTAATTCTTTCATCCAATTGGACCAGACGATCAATTACTGAATAATTCCGGCGCCTTGAGCGTCATCATTTCGACTAAAGTGATATTCATGTCAGGATCAGATGTCATCTCATTTTCGAACTGTGTAGTTTGGATGATAATAATTGTTGGAGACAATGTTCCGTATTAGATGCGTTCAGATAGGGTAACGAGGGATCCCTGCCAGCAAATCAATGACGACGACCAGGCAGAATCTCCACATTTCAAGGCTGACGGGCAACACGTGACTCTCCTGCGGAGTCTGTGAAAGGTTGCCTAAGATGCCTTGCGACCAAGATTGGAGTATGTAGCACAAAGAGAGACTCATAAATATCTCCGCTTCTCGTCATTTCATCATACCTAGATACTCACGATCAACTATTTGACTCTCTAAAATCCACCCGCCACATCTGACATCATGTCAGCATCTCCAGAACCCTTCACCCTCTTTCACAAGTTCCCCCCAGAGCTCAAACTCGACATCCTAAGCTTCTGCACCAGAAACGACCTAGTCTGCCTCTCACTAACCGGTCCCGAAATGCGAAATCTCGTCGCACCACTCATCCCCAGCAAACCTAATCTCACATGGGTCGATCAGCTCGGTCCAACACCAGACGTCCCTTCAGAATGTAATGATACACATCATAACAACACCCTCCGCCGGCAAGATTGCGTCGGCGCAATAGATCGAAAAGTCGTCTACTCTCCCATAAGCCATCGCTTCAGACGCCATGAATACGGGCACTGCAAAGTCTGCTACCGATGCCGAAACTACCCATCTGATCACCCGCTGTGCAATGTTTCGTACTGCAAAAAGCATTGCGCGTGCATTTCGTGTCCTTTGTTCATGAGATTGCGGGGTTGGATGGGCGATCGCAAGTACTGTGCGGAGTGCAACCAATTCACCACTCGAACAAGGAGAAACAACGGAAGATGTACGTATCTTCCCCATCTTTTAACAATATCTAATTATAGAGCAGGCACTCATGGGCGGAAAAAGGTGCGAAAAACACCGAATAACCATTGGAGTAGTAGAAAAGGATTATCCTATGGAAATCGCTGGTGGAGAAAATGGGGTACACACGGAATTGACCACGAGGCGTATCAGCCCAATGACACCGGGAGACGAAATGCGAGAGTGGTTTAAACTAGTCATTTACTCTGAGCGACATTTATTTAACTATTTCTTACACCGGCTACACTAACGTGATTGAGTATACATCTCCCTGGAGAGGCTCTTTCTTGACGTCTTCAGTGAAGTCGCGGAGTTCGCAGGGACCTCTCAATTCCCATTCTTCCACGTCGGGCCACGTCTGGGTCGATTTGTACGGCCGAAGGACTAGATACACAGAAAGACCACCAACTGTTGCGAATACCGCGTCTTGTGTAGAACATTCGAAATTGGTCAGACTGAAACGACCGTCGGCCAGGGTGAAGAAGGATTGAGCGTGTCCTCCATGGAATGTGTCGGTTGGCTGCTCGCCCAGACTGGGGGGTTCATTCTTCTTCCACTGTTGATGTCCTCTTGTCACTTGAAAATAGCAGTCTGTCAGAATCTTGTCTCTAAAAAACTTATCTCTAGACCTGAAAGGTTCTTCTGTTGACTCTTGGTCGGTAGGCAAGCCAACCATTCCCCGGCAGGCACGTATTGCTCCAACAACAGCATCGCAGGCTAGGGGAACGTCTGTAGTTTTCTCAAGACCAAAGTCGGAGAGATCAAGAGCCTTTTGGATACTCCCAAGGAATACCATGTTGAGGCGCAGTCTGTTACCTGACAAAAGCTCAAAGGCTTGGCTCCCCGGGTAACTAATCGAAGACCGTGTCAATGAGATCGACCCCTTCTCGGCCACTGATAAAGTTCGTGACCAGTCAGGTACCCAAGATGGCAAGTTCAATCCCTTCCCTGGCTTGTTGTAAGCAAGTAGCAGCGTCGACTGTGTTTCTATCATTGCTTTCCATGTCGCTGTTATGTACAGCTCTTCAAGACTGATCGAATAATCGGGCACGATTGGCTCGGTGAAGCGCCAATTGTCTACCAGACCCAGCAGTCCGTATATTCGGTCCCGAGGTTCTTGGCATCGTCTGTTCCTGGTAGCGTCCAATAAAAGCACCAAATCACTACCCTTGGTGATCCTACTTTTGTTATCCTTTTGTGCCGTTTCGCGATGGTAGTTTAGATCCCATAAATGTCCCTCAATGTGGCCGGTAGCCGCCGCACCCAGAGGCGGTAGTCGCTCCCAACTCGACGAACAGCATGAAGGGCCTTTTGTTCCTGCGAGATACAACATTTTTTGGGATGCACGCAGCATCATATCCAGTGGAAAGACGCAAACTCCAAAATGCACGGATACAGCATTGGGAAGCACCGCTTCTTGGAATGTCCAGATCCTAGAGAACCATGGCTGCTCCACCATGTATGAGAAAATGCGTAGTGACTGTTGAAAAAGTCCAATGACATCAGTTATGACTCTGTCCAGGGAGCAGAAGTGGTCGTTGATGCATGCCAACAACCCGATTGCCACTATTTCCATCATCATGTAGCTCAACGGCTGGTGACCATACTTTGCAAGTAGTGTAGAGAGATGGACGTCTCTTTCGTCGCCATACCAGTGGTACGGTCGATACTCGTCATCTTGGGTCTCGTCTTCTTCCTGTTGCCGACTTGAGCCTGGGCCCTCGCAGATATAGACTTGAGCTTCGGCGGTACGTCGATATATCTCGCGCATCATGCTGACTTGATGTCCTTTCTCTTGGTTGTCGCTTTGGTTGATGCAGATAGAATCTGCCCAGACTGTGCGCGGAGTTGCCTTGCGTCTTAATCGGCGAAGGAACCAAGCCAGATCTGACGGAACAGAGACGGTGTGATCATCGACTATGACGGTATCCCGAAGTTCATTCCAGCGGTATGACAGCGCTTCGAAGCGGGGGAGCTCGTGATCGAGTGAGACTGTCTTCAAGAGGCACCTGAGTTGCTCACGAAACACGCCTGGTTGGATCACGAGGAGTCGGATCTCTCTGGCTGCAAGGGGCTTGTACAATGGCGTCAAGCCTGGATCGAGTAGCAATGACTCCAGACTCGGAATTTTCGATGCCATTATATAAAGTTAAAGGAGTGATTATTTATGGCTTCAAGAAGTAACAGGCGAATATATTCACGACTGAGGCTGTGCAAGACTCCTGAAGCGGGGTATTAATTCTGGAGTAGATGCTTAGCAACTCCATAATGACTAACTTGTAGAGTGTAAAACGATAATTTGCAGTCTTGCCCTTAAAACAAGCGAAGCATTCCACCTTTTCGGACACTGTTATTGCCATGGCTGCTTCAGGCGGGATGCTGTGTAGGCGCATGGGGAACCTCTACCATTGAAGCGGCGTTTCGCGACGTTCGGCATAGCCAAGGAAGGGTCATAGCTCCAGGCGATCTTATTGGAGGGTGACCATTTTTGTAATTTATTGATTATTGCCAGCCCTTACTGCTGCTGCGTTGGCCGTTTAGATCAAAACAACTTTATGTTTTCGAAACATGACTGGATGAGTAAAGCTGCATGTATGGCTAGACAAGTGACAGGTAACGAGAAACCCTTGCTACGTCTTATTCACGACACCCATCTCGCGAAATATGCCGCTTTAAACAAGAATCTATGCAAGGTGATTCACTCCATCGCATGCGGGCAACAGGGGAATTAGAGCAGCGTATGCATTCATTACTCAACGTAACATACAGAGCACATAATAAGCATGCATGATAAAAACTCGGCCTCGAAAAATTCAGAACCACTATAAAAACACAGCAAACTACTGAATCAATTAAAGCCAATATCTAAGCTCTGTCGTTAACGCTCAATTACTACAGCTTCGCCTGTATTGCAAAATCCTTTTCAAGGCATAGCTCTGTCTATGCAGAGACCCGTTCTATATTATGTTTATATTACCTACCGGTTGAGTAACCCGGATTAAATCTCCTACCTTATATGTCAAATTATATCTTGGGCGTGTATTGCCTAATTGATCTTTATCAAATCTGTCCGCTCGGACTCTTTAGACAACTTTATAAATAATAATAATTAAGTTATTAATTTAAGGATAAAACTAAATAAATTTAATTCTAGACACTTAAAGCTAAGCTTTATATTTTACTATACACCTATTTATATAATTGAAACCGTTATATACTCTGAGTCTTTGAAACTTTCCCACCCTGTCTCTCTAACCCTGCGATCACGGCACCATCTATAAAGGCCCAGTCTGCGAAATTGTCCACCTTATATCTTCTCAAGTATAATCCCAGTCCGTGCAGAATACTCGAAAAGATACGTATGACTCCAATCCCTCTCCTCATCAGCGTCCTTCTTTCGGTCAAACTTGAATGGCATATTAATTCCATTCTCAGGGTCCTGTTTGTATTGCTCGTATGAGCTTTCTGGCTGATGGCAGCGCCATAATGCCTCTCGATTTCCCAACACTGCTTTAGCAAGTACCCCACGCATAACCAATACCCCGCCAATCACTCTGCCAAATGGCGATGCCTCTAATACAAGTTCAGCATTGCATTCCAAAATCTCAGCCTCAAAATCGTAGACTGTTTCGAAGTCTATCTTCTGGTCGACAGAAATCCACGACCAAGATGGTCCGCGGTGCTTGGGAAGCACATATCCCTCGTCCGGCGGATTCCAATCCTTTACCCTCCAAAGCAAGCTATCCTCCAAATTTCTCTCCCACATGCCAGCGATGTACCGCGAGCAGATTTCTTTCGAAGCTTCCATCGCAATAGCAGATATTGCCTCCAATTTGTCATCGCCATAGCGCATCTTGCGAGCCGAGCACCGTCTCGGGTCCCAGCTAATAGACCCTGGTGTCAGAAAGTTGCCTAAGGAAAGGATCCTTGAGCCCCAGTGATCCATATAGACATGCTTTCCGCACTTCCAGTACATGATGAAGGACCCGAAGTACAAGACTCGACGAGATAGAAGGTCTTCCTGCAGTGTCCATACTCGCTGATTCAGTGGTTCATCGTCTACAGGAATCAGATTTGCCCAGCTGGTGAAAGAGTAGACCCGACCTAGCTTCTGAAAGGGCAGTTCAACCCAGCCGCTATCTTCCATAAAGTTTTTTGTTGCCGTTAAGAACCCGTCTCTGACATTTCTCGCATTTGTAGCTGCGATTGTGATGTATGCGTTCTCATATATACGTGCCATCTGCCTTATTTCTTGCTCCTTGTCTTCCTCTGAGTCCTGTATGATACAGAGAGCATCTAACCAAAGGTATTTGAGACCCAGTTGACGGGTGACTTGAATTGCATCGATGATCGTCTGGGGCAGCCGAGAAATCTTGATCCCTTTTACCAGGTCTGTCAGGTTGTGTTTCTCGAGGACAACAGGCTGGGCGGAGATGCCCCAACAATAGCTCAATGCTGAATACGGGGCCGATTCCCCAGGATGGCCACAATACAATTTTATAGTATCGGGATTCGACACATTAATGACCCTTGTCGGTAGCTTTGAGTTGTCTCTATCTTTCGAATGGCCATGGGACTCATCACACTCTTTTATCCAACCTCGAGCAACCGTGACTTGCTGTTGTGACCATAAACTCGTTGATGGTGTTCTCATACTGACAAATCGAGAGCTTGGATCATCTTTAATTATCAGCATATATTCCAACACTTCACCGACTTCAGGTACCTGGATGAGCATATATAGGTAAGGATTCATATCGAACTTTGTTTTCAGGGTCGCATAACACTTCCTTTGGCTTGGGGTAGGCCTCAAACCAATTCCATCGCACTGTAGGGGAGGTCAATTGGCGAATTTGAATTTCCTCGACGTCAGGAAGACCGCCTCCAACTTTGAAATGATATGCCACGGAAAATGTGTAAAGCTTTTCTGTCTCGCTGGGCCAGTTGGTCTTCTTTTCGGCGTAATCCACAAAGGTTTTGCACAATGCGCAACTGGCATTATCTAGTTCTGCCCATGTGGCTGAATACTTATATATCAAGTATGGCCTCCCTTCGTCGTCTTGGGGAAGCCGTTCCAGAGCCCAATTAGTAGTGAGATCATCTAGATTGGGGCAATTGGACAGGAAGTCAAAGCAGCGGTTGCAATACCGCCGCCTCAAGGTATCATGACCATTGCTGAGCTGCTGAGTGTTTGAAGGGGATTGTAAATCCACCATATTTTGAAGTATCACAGGAATTGACAGAAAAGTTAAAGCTGCGCTGCAGGGCCAGATGTTTACAGGAGACTTATGTATATAAGATCTATAACTTGAAAGGAAAATATATTATTATACGGATAGTCTTTAGGTGTTAATATAAATTCTTACAGCAGATCAGGCAGCAATCGCCCCACCTTTAGGCCCTGATCCAATTGATTTACTCGTGGGTTTAACTAAAAGGGAACCCTACTTATAGAATCTATTATAAACCGATCTATAACAAGCCTGTAAAAGTTACCTTATAGTCAGGTAACCAGCTACTGCTTATACCTTTTATCTTTATAGATATTTTATTAAAGTTTAATATTATATTAATTAGATTTTTAATTTCTATAAAGTAAGCTTAGTTATTTAAAGTTTAATATAATAAAAATATATAACTTAAAGGAAGTTCTTATTTAGTAAAGATTACAGGTACCCTTAAGTATCTGGATAGTTTTTTGAATCTGGATACTCCGGATGAGAATGGATTGGAGGAGAACCATATTGTTATGTTAACGGATTCGTATGTCGTTTGGTTCCAGCTTCCGCCAGACGTCCTCCTCAAACGATACTACAAAGCAAACTATCAAGCCAATTAACGACTGTTATCACAATGGAATGGGCGCGAAAGACCTCAAATGGAACAGACCATCGTTGATTCAGCCCCAAAAAAATCCTTCCCTCCCCCATCATCAGGCTCCGTCCTCCACTGCGATCAACTCCCTGGAAGCCCAGCTTGAAAAGACCTCTACGGACCGAATACCGACAAAGACCCCGAAGTATTTTGCGATATTCGACTGAAATATCTCAACAGCGGGTGCATGATTGGTCCAGTCGGCGATATGAGGAAATACTTTCGTCGCGTGCATGAGCGAATGCAGAGAGGTCTAGTCAATGGCAAAGACTTGTACAGCGATCAAGGAATATTCGGTGAGATCTTTGCGGAAGAAGAAATCTGGCGTCGCTGGCTTCGCAAGAATATCGTTTCTTGAAAAGATAAGAGCTTCGATGTCATGCATAGCGATTTCGAATATCATGTCGGTCTGGATTATACACAGAATCTGTTCATTCCAACTGTTTTTGAGGAGCAAGATGGGGAGATTATTGCGCTGAATAACGAGACTGGTATTGCTGAAAAGTCAGTGTCCCTCGGGATTGAGCCAAGGCTAGACGGTGTACCAGACGATATCCAATCTTTTACAAACCCACTCAACATGCACGTTCTCCAGGATCCAGCGGATTGGGGTGATATGCCCGTATACGTTGATTTCTACTCCACTGCCATTCCCGTCGTCGTCCACCACAACGCTCACAAAGACGGAGCGAAGAATCGTCGATATCTCTAGTGGGACCGCATCTAGTTCTTCCCGTACCTCCACCAACTCATCAAGTCCCAACTCAACATTGTCGAAGCAGAGCCATTACTGGAGATTGCCGTTAACGGGGAGCGCTTGGTGTACTGGGAATCGCGGTCGAACGTCACTCAGAAGATGCCGAAAACCTTCATCGTCGATTCCGGGGAGGTTTGTATCGTCAAGCGTGAATTCGGGTATGTTTGTCATGCAAAGACGGAAAAGGCGGAGGCGGAGAAGCCGTGGTATGATGAAGTATTTCGGGATGGGATGGGAGACCTCGAGATCTAGAGCTTGATTTGGGCGTAGGACTTGATCGGAGTTTCGGTTATCATTTTATGTCGAGGTTGAGCTGTTTCGTATAGAATAAATGCCGATGTATTCGTCAATCCGAAAGGTCTATTGAGCCAAGTGACATTGATAGAACGCATTCTCTCGCAGCACCTTCAGTATAGTGCGCCATCATATTTGGATAGCCTCAAGAACATCAGAAGGTGAGAATGGGGACAGGTCGACTTTATATAGCCCTCTCGCCATACACTAGTCTTGGACCTAGGATAGTATGGACTGACATAAGGTTTGCCAAAATGCCTCACTAGTCATTATATTACTCGTCGATGACGAGTCACGATTCAAGAGCCCTGAACTATTCCTAGTTCAAGGCTTGCCAAGAGTTTACTAAGAATGAACACGCCTCAAATTACTAGTGGCATTCCGGTCTATCTCTACAACCTTGTCTATAGTTTAGCAGACCCCTCATGAACCTGCACCCAAAGCTTAATAGTCTCAACCAATCCCTGCACTTCCGGAACAGTGTTTCCGGCATGCACACAGATTCTCACCCTCTCACTGCCCTTTGGCACCGTCGGCGCCACGATAGGCCGTACCGTGAATCCTCGTTCCTGACAGAACTGAGCTAGACTGCGTGGTTGTGAGGTGAAAACAGGTATGATTGGCGACCTCGGTGCTGCCTCCGCGCGAATTGATTGGCTTAGGGAGCATGCTTCCGCAAGTAGCTTGTGCGTATAGCTCACCAGACTCCAGAGATGCTTCAACCTCTCGTCAGCTCTCCCACTCTGGAGATACTGATATGAAATGCCAATGCTTGCGAGACAAGAGAATGGCATTGCTGTCGTGTAGATGAGAGTTCGGGCGTAATTTATGAGATACTCTCGTGTCGTGGGTGAGCACAAAACAATAGCTGCATGGTTAGCTTCGTTGGTGAGCGGTTTAGCTTTACTTACCTCCAAAAGAACTCATTGCTTTGCCAAACGTATGCAATCGTGCGAATATTTCCTTCTCCAAACCCAATTCGCATACAAGACCACGACCTTGGTGACCAAAAATGCCTGTTGAGTGCGCCTCGTCGATGATGATGTAGCCATTGGTTGGAAGCCTCCTTTTGACGCATTCGACAATGTCTTTGAGAGGAGCAACGTCGCCATCCATGCTGTAAACACCCTCAACAAAGATAAACACCGATTTTCCACCCCCAATTCCACTCAAAACATCATCGAGGCCTCCCTCCCCATACACACAATTATGCTTAAACGACACCCTCCCTCCCGCGCGACTCAACCTCATCCCGTCATGAGCACTCGCATGAATAAGCTCATCATACACAACAACATCCCCCGGCTGCGGTAAACAGCTCACGAGCCCAACATTCGCATCAAACCCGGAATTGAACAACAATCCAGCATCTGCATTGTGAAATGCCGCAATGTCTCTCTCCAGATTCTCGGCGAGGGTTGAATTGCCGTCCAACAGTCGTGAACCTCCAGATCCTAACAGTGGAGGCGGCGCTGCATGGTTCTCAAGCAGGGAGTGATACGCGCTTCGAATTTCCGGTACCGAGGACAGTGAGAGGTATGCATTTGAAGAAAAGTCGACATTGTCAGCTGGAAACGTCGTCAATCGTCGTAATTGCGACCGTTTCTCACGATCTAATAATCGCTCTTTCAACTGCTCCTCCAATTTCGACATTATTATGTACAAAGTTTAAAAACTCACTCACAGGCCAATTCACTCAGTAAAGCAAGCGGAATTTGTTGGGTTTAGTACATGTTGAGCCCCCCCGCCCTGCCGGAGCTCTTTGCCGTGCCGATCTAGACTAGACCCTGTTATAAACCGCGGCATTCCACCTCAACCCTTTCGTCCATCCCACCCATCGAAAAAATGGCGCCTGTGCCTGCTCTTCTCTGGCGATCGCTGCGAGCGCATCAGGTCTACGGTGCGAATACTGATGTGGGCAAGACGATTTTCAGCACGATTTTGTGTAATGCTGCGAGTAAGCGGGGTGAGAGGACGTGGTTTCTTAAGCCGGTTTCTACGGGGGCTGCGGATGAGGCTGATGGATGGTGTAAGTTTAAGGGATGTTGAGGGGACTGAGCTAATTGGAGTAGAAGTTGGGTGTTTTTGGGAGAAATTGTCTAACGAGGTAGTCATATTCAACGATATGCTCCGTCGACGAACCATGAGACGCTGTTCCAATACGACATTCCCTGCAGTCCTCATACAGCCGCGAAGGCATCTGGCAAGGTATGGAGTCAATTGGTTGACGAATGAAGCTTACAGAGTAGCCAATTCCATCCGATCAAGATGTTCTCACTAAAATCTATGAGACCACGTCGCGATACGCATCTGAAGGACCGGGATGGCTGTTTCTAGAGACTGCTGGCGGCGTTCATTCGCCTGGCCCATCTGGGACACCCCAGGCTGATCTCTATGCTCCGTTGCGTGCGCCAGTTATTCTCGTCGGTGACTCAAAGTTAGGCGGCATCTCACAGACCATTTCTGCTTACGAGTCTCTACGAATGCGCGGCCATGACATTGAGTCGATTCTGTTGTTCCAAGATATGAAGTACGAAAACTACCAATACCTTCGAGACTACTTTGGAAAGCTGGGCGGAATCTCTGTCGATGCAGTCCCCGAGCCACCTACTCGACTCGATAATGAACAAGAAGACATTGAGCAGATGAAAGAGTACTACGCCTCCCACAACGTCGACCACGTCCTCGGAGCTCTCGACAAACGAGGCAAAGACCGCATCGCCCGTCTCGAATCAATGACTTCCAAAGCAAGCAAATCAATCTGGTACCCGTTCACCCAACAAAAGCTCGTCACCGCCGACACAATCTCCGCCATCGACTCAGCCCACGGCGACTATTTCCAAGTCCTCAACCCCTCCAGTACTAATCTCCTGCAACCCGCTTTTGACGGCTCAGCATCATGGTGGTCCCAAGGTCTCGGCCACGCCAATTCGCGCCTCACCCTCGCAGCAGCCTACGCAGCCGGGCGGTACGGCCATGTAATGTTTGCCGAGGCAATCCACGAGCCTGCATTAGCGCTGGCGGAGATGCTCCTCAAGGGCGCAGACAATCCGCGATTTTCACGTGTTTTCTACTCTGATAATGGGAGCACGGGATGTGAAGTAGCTGTCAAGATGGCGCTGAGGGCGGCGAGGTTGAGGTATGGCTGGGGACCGAATGAGAATGTTCATATCCTTGGACTCAAGGGGAGTTATCATGGGGATACGATTGGCGCGATGGATTGTGCGGAGCCGTGTGTTTATAATGAGAAGATTGAGTGGTATGAAGGTAAGGGGTATTGGTTTGACTATCCTACGATTCAGTGCGTCAAAGGGAAGTGGGTTGTTCAGGTTCCTGAGGGTCTGAGGGAAGAACTGGGACAGAATTCGGATCTCAGATCGATCTCGGAGGTTTTTGATCTCGAATCTCGGCTCAATACCGAGCAGTACCGAAAGTATGAACGGTACATTGAGGGCGTTCTCTCGAAACTCCAAGCTTCTGGACGCAAGTTTGGCGCTCTCATGATGGAGCCGATAATTCTCGGCGCAGGAGGCATGATCTTTGTGTGAGTCTTTTCCCTCTCAATCCCTCTTCATTCGGTGCTAACAATTCAGTGATCCCCTCTTCCAAAGAGCCCTAGTGGATGTTGTCCGTCGATCCCCTCACCTCTTCGGCAATGGCTCTAGCCCCAACGACCCACTCTCATGGTCTGGACTCCCCGTAATTTTCGACGAAGTTTTTACCGGGCTATACCGCCTTGGTCGGTTCACGGCGGCGTCATTCCTCGGCACCGACGCCGACATCTCAGTCAACGCTAAACTACTTACGGGAGGTCTTGTACCGCTCTGCACGACCATGGCATCCGAGAGTATTTTCGATGCGTTTGTTAGTGATGACAAGAGCGATGCTCTACTGCATGGACATTCTTATACGGCGCATGCTGTTGGATGCCAAGTTGCTGTTGAGTCGGTGAGAGAGATGCAGGATATGGAGAAGAGGGGAGAATGGGCATGGGCGGAGAGGGATTGGGAGGAGGATACGCAGGCTTGGTCTGTTTGGTCGAGAGATTTTGTTAACAATGTCTCGCATAATCAGCAGGTTTTGGGTGTCTGGGCCCTTGGAAGTGTTTTGGCGATTAGTTTGAGGGATGAGGATGGTGTTGGGTACAAGAGTTTGGCAGCCAAGAAGCTTCAGACTCATTTGAGAGAGGGAACTGGGACGTGGAACGCTCATAGTCGCGTTTTGGGTAACGTTTTCTATGTCATGGCGAGTCAAAAGACGAGTCGACAGAGTCTTCAAGAGCTACAGGGTTTGTTATTGAGGGCTTTGAGTAAATAGTCACGCCATAACATGAACTCTCTTGCTTGGAAGCTTCTCCTGTTAACAGCAGCATCCGTGTCTGTTATCCCGATAACCCTTATGTTCAATTCCTTCTTTACCCGAGTCATGGCATCTTCCGTCGGCGCAATTCATGACGTTATGCAATTTCTGGGGTGATCGACACTCCCCTGCAGGGTTGACGTGTCGGAGGGGTCCACGTCAATCGTCACGAAATCTCAGTTTTACTCCAACACATCAAAGATTCATCAGAAAAAACTATCAAAATGAGTTCAAAGAAATTGTACGAAAAGACTCGCGAGCAGTCAATCTCTGACTTTGAAGCGCAAACCAAAGATCTCCAAAAAGAACATCCCGATATCGACTTTAAAACAGTCGTCATCGAACCAACCATGAATCTCATGTTTGACATCAAGGTATGTTTGCCGATCATGTATAGGGCGTACTGACATTTCTAGGAAAACCTCACCGAAGAAGAACGAAAGAAACACGAGGAGTACATCACCCGAATGCTTCAGAATACCGGCAATCTGTCCAAGGCAGAGAAATACCTTTGGCAGGCCAGAGACTACCTGAGGCCCTACCCTGACGTCCTCAAACAATTTGACGACATCTACATCAACCAAAGACCAATCCACGTCATGTTGACTCAGCTCCACGAAACTTTCCACCAAGCAAATAGACATCCATAGACATATCCAGAATCATTTCATTAGCCTCAGATGCTAGCCAGTTCCCCGCTCACATGACGCCCCATCAATAGGGCGTGATGACAAGGTTTCCCTTTCATCAGCCAATCAGAAATCGCCAGACAATGCCGCCACTTGATAACCTTTACTGAAGGGATCAGACCTCTCTTCTTCACCTTTACAGTGACGTGCATGCATTGACCCCTACACTCACTACTCGCCATGAATTTCAACAACCCCAATCTCTTCACAGACGTCGATCTATTGGACGGCTTCATCAGCGATGATTTAACCCCCTACATGTCCGACTCTGCCCCTCCACCAGACCTATCAAACACAATCCCCAATCCTGCTCCAACCCATCCCGCGCCGCAAATTCCCTTCACGCCCCTGTCGCTGCATGGCTACACGCAACCAGCGCCGCCTGCAAAGGTCGGCGGGAGATTCACGAGGGAGTCGGTGCGCATACTGAAGAATTGGCTCGCGACGCATCAGAACCATCCATATCCGCGCGAACCTGAGCGACGCATGCTGCAGGAGGAGACGGGGCTTACAAAGACGCAGATATCTAACTGGTTGGCCAATGCGAGACGTAGAGGAAAGATTCCGTCGAGTGCTTCGTCGCCGAGACATGGGGATACGCCTGCTATGGATATACCGCCTAGACCTGGGACGCCGGCTGTGAGGAATACGTCTGATATGGATCCGCTGCAGCGATGGGTTGATTCGCCGCCTGAAGATGAACCTGCTGCTGTTACGGCGATTGCGAGAGCTGTAGCATCTGTGCGACCGCAATCAGGTGAGTTTGGTGTGGCGTGAGTGAGTGAAGCTGACATTGTAGGTTCCTCGAGTCCATATACGAGACTATCGCGAACGCCATCAGTTAGAAGTGTCGGTACATCGAGATCCAGCTCAATCAGCTCAGTTAATTCACACACAAGTCGCTCATCACTCGGCCTCAATGAGCTCTTTAGTCGGGGAAGTTCTCGTCGCAGAAGACGTGCATACAAAGAAGAACGACGATCACTGGCAGCTCCGAGAAAAGCATTCCAATGCACATTCTGTACCGAGACATTCCGAGCAAAACACGATTGGTCACGACACGAGAATTCGCTGCATCTGCCGCTTGAGCGATGGGTCTGCAGTCCAGAAGGACCCCGTGGCCAAAAAGCCGATAGCCCCGAAGTACGATGTGTTTTCTGCGGTCACGTCGATCCTGATGATGCACATATCGAAACGCACAATTATTCAGCTTGCAAGAATCGACCTGTTCAGGAACGGACGTTTAATCGGAAAGATCATCTCAATCAGCATCTGAAACTGGTCCATAATGCCAAATTCGCCGAGTGGCCTATGCGCCAGTGGAAAGCTCCTCCGCCTGCTATTCACTCCCGATGCGGTTTCTGTAATCTTGTGATGGAAACGTGGATCGATCGTGTGCATCATCTAGCGGATCATTTCAAGACGGGCAAGACTATGGCTGACTGGAAGGGCGATTGGGGGTTCGAACCGCATATTCTCGAGCTTGTTGAAAACTCGATTCCCCCTTGTGAGTTTATCGTCAACGTGTTGGTGGTGGTACTGACTCTCTAGACTTTATCGAAACTGAACGAAATAGTCCTTTTCCATTCGAAGGGAGCCGTGCACTCGTTGAAACGCCCCGAACAGCTTATGAGTTGCTCAAATTGGAGCTTGCGTATTTCATGCAGAATCACTTTTACAAACATGCGAGAATGCCGACCGGGGACGAAATGCAGCTCGAAGCGTGTAGAATTCTTTTTGCGTCGGAACCGCTGTCTCACGTCGACCTCGTCTGTCCATCATGGCTTCGAGACTTGGTCTTTTCGAACGTTGCAATCTCACAGCAAGCTCAATTCGGACCGATGCGATCGAACGCCGAGAGTCGACTTTCTTCGCTAGAAATCAGTGGAAAGAACAATATTTTCGAAGGATGTCCTTTTGAGACGCAGCTGCAAGAGTTTGTGCAAGCAAAGCAGCTCTTGGGATTGAGTATCAGGGATGATGAATTGCGAGAAGAATGCTGCAGAATTGTTGGTCGACTAGAGGAAGTGTCAGCAACACCATCCGATTTTATCGCGAATTGGCTTATCAAGATCATTCACTTACCCGGCGACTGGCTTCTCCCATTCCGACAACGCACAGGAATTGAGTTAATTGGATTATCGGAGGGAATGAACTTGAACGCGATGATCCAAGACTATACGCGTCTGGAACAGGAACTCGGGGCTTATCTCGATTTGCAACGCGTCATTGGCATTGAACCTCCCGACGACGACCTCCGCCGACAAGCGCGCGTTATAGTCCACGGCTCAGACTCAAATCTGAATCATACAGCAGCAGATGACGATTATTGGCTCGCCGCATTCCGACAGCGACATTCTACGACAACAGAAAATCCCGAAGCTTGGAACACGCCACTTCGCCCAGATCCTCATCTCCTCGCCGCTCGAGGACTCGTTCTAAAAACAAGTACAGCTTTTCTAAATGATCATAATTACTGGCGATGGTTCACACAGGAATTGAGACGTTGGGTATCTGCGATAATGTCCCCCCATAATCCAGCGAGTCGCGTTCCGTCAGACGAAGAGATCCAGCATTACGCGCGATGGATCAGTTACAACGAGTACGTCACCCAACTAACCTGAAACTGTTTAAATCTCTAACAATTTAGTGACGACCCATTCAATCAGACCATCGCAGAGAATAAAGATTGGCTCGAGGCGTTCAAACGAGACGTCGGTATCACAGAGGCGCTTAATAATGGCCAGATATAACGATCAACATGAATGTCACGCTTATTAAACTCTAACGCGAACTCCAACGGGGAAATAATAACTCTTAACTTAACAAGTTTAAAGAATTTAACCTTTTACTCTTATCTGCCGCCAAGTGAAACTCCCGACGTTTGTAATTCATCCGAAACTCGGGTCAGACTTTGCCGAGACTTTTAACGTGGATAAGCTTTAAGATTCGGCCAATTGTAAATGTCCGTGAAATAGGAGGATCTACAATGAATCCTAGAGTAAAATAGGCAATTCAAGTAGATGTGATGATGAGCTTGCTGATTATCGCGGTCAATCAGCTAGCGGTAGCCTTCTTATACAGGCAATTCAGCACTTAGCCCCAGCATCAGCCGCCGGCTTATAGGGCTGATCTCAACAAGCACGCATTTTGAATAGCCGAAACGGGATAATGCCAACTGGTTTCAAGGCACGGCTTGTGGGGGTAGGACCACGCTACACGTCACCCAAGATCGTCAGCTTGCCCCGAGAGCCCCGACAGTTTGGGGGCTAACTCGCGATTGGCCAGAGGCAACATGGGAAGCCTGTAAGCCAAGATGTACAGTCTTGGCGAGCACGTTTATATAACGAGTTTCCCGCTCGCTGGTGAGATTAATGGACAGCAGTTATTACAATGTCGTTTTCTACCCTGGTGGTGGGTATTTTCTACCTTGCGGGTGTTTCTGCCGCTTCTGTTTCGAGGCAGATACAGCTTGGTGATCATGAGTACTTTGTTCCTCCGACTGCAGCGTGGACATTGGATTCGTGGGACGCTGAGGTTGATGCTGACGAGTTTACGCCGTTGACGGTGGTCAAGTTGAACGGGACGGCAAAGGCTGAGCGTGTTGCCGCTGCGCTGGGGGAGTATGAGAAGGATGATGTATGGACCAAGGAGTTTACCCAGGGTATGTTATGCGATGAGCCTACTTGACGTATCTGACGGCCGCAGCTTTGTACATCAAGTCCGATAAAGAAGTTGCCTTCAACTCCTCCAAGTACAACGTTTCAGCGGTATACACAGGCCAAAAGTCGGTCCCTGCTGGCCCATACTTTGTGCATCGCTACACGGGCAATGTCTTCCAAGCATATCGTCTCTATGTCGACACAAACCAAGCCTTCATCCAAGTAAGCTCCCCGCTTATGCACTCAACATCGCTGACAGTAGTAGTCCACCTACCAAGACCCCTCCGGAACCCACCATCCTCTTCGCGCCGGCGCCCTCTCCGCTGGAGGTCTCACGATAGCCGTCCCATCGCGTCTGTACTACACCCCCACGAAAGATAAACCTCTCGCCGGTCTTCGTCTCGGTGTCAAAGATCTATACGACCTCAAAGGAGTCAAGACAAGTGGAGGAAACAGAGCTCTCTATGAAATGAGCGATGTCAAGACCAAGACTGCCGTATGCGTACAGAAACTCATCGATGCCGGCGCTGTAGTCGTTGGAAAGAACAAAATGTCCGAGTTTGCTTTTGCTGGCGGATACGTCACCGAGCATATCGACTACCTTCTCCCCTTCAATCCTCGAGGTGACAGTTATAACTCGCCTGGCGATAGCTCCGGTGGGTCTGCTGCAGCTGTCGCTTCGTATGACTGGCTTGATGCTAGCATGGGAAGTGATACAGGCGGTAGTATCCGTGGTCCTGCACTCCAGAATGCTGTTCACGGGAACCGTCCTACACAGGACGCTGTCAACCTGACAGGAGCTCTTCCTCTTTCATCCGCCATGGACACCTCGGGTATCATTGCTAGGGACCCTGCCATTCTATCCAAGTTCACCCGATCTCTTTACGCTGGCACGATTAGAGAGTATTCTGGGTTGCCGTCTGAAGTCCTCCTTGACAGCGGTAGTGAAAGGTTTCTCCTCAACCTTGAAAGAGACTCCCCGAAGGCGGCGACAGCGGTAGGGGAGTTCTTAAACAGTCTCACAAGTCTACTGTCTACCGATGGCAGTGTCTTCTCGATTGACTCAGCCTGGAAAAGCTCTACACCAAAGGCATTCAGCGATGTGGACCTCTCCAATATGGTGGGCAGTGTCTACTTGAACTTGACTACCTATGAACAGTGGAACGAGTTTGGTCAAGAGTATGTTGAAGAGTACAAGAGTCTTCACGATGGTGCATTCCCTCATATGGTGCCTGAGATTCGCGAAGGGTGGATGAACGCCAATGAGACAATGACTAAGTTGACTCATGAAGATGACTTGGCGTCCAAGAAAGGAGTCGAGGACTGGGTCGCCAGCGAGTTCTTGACTGCTGATAACAAGAGCTGCTCTAATGCTATCTACGTCTATCTCTCAGCCAGCTATCCTTCATACAAGCCTGATGTTTCCCAAGAGTATGTCACCCCTGTCGATTCGTTTCACCGCTAACAGATCAGTGGCTCCAACCCGTATATCCGGGAGCTTCTACAAGCCAGTTCTAAACAGCAATCCCTCATCACCCAGCTCAACACCACTGTCAACTGCAACTCCACTCTTGGATCAGAAGAAGCTTGCGAGGAATCCTTAGAGGCAGAGGCAAACTCCAACAACTCAGGCTCTCAGACTGTATATGCCGGAAGACTAGCCTCTGTCGCAGGACTCCCAGACTACGCAGTCTCACTCGGTATGTTCGACCTCGGGCAATTCTCCAATTCGACACTCCAAAAGGAGCTTGTTCCCGTAGGAGTCAACATAATGGCGGCAAAAGGCTGTGACTTTGTAATTCTCAACATCATCGAGGCACTCCACAAAGAGGGTGTTATCAGGACAGCCAAGACTGGTAAAACATCATAAGTAGTAATGAGATAGTTAATAATTATTGTCCCTAATAGATCCCCGCACTTTGGGACCAGCGGAGAGCATCATCCGGGCGGGGAAGCTGAGTCGTGGTGAATTACCATAGTTGGTTTAGTTTACTGTCATCACGTCAGGTCTGATACGCTGAAGGCAGGTCGGGGAAGTAATCCGGAATTGGAAAGTTTCTAGGCACGGTATCATCGCCACGATTATTTAAGTTCAACGTTGTTCTGGCCTTGTTTCATCAATCAATCTTGTCTTTACTACCTGAATCAATGGGTCTCCGTCAAGAAATTCTTCTCGTTGCCTTTGCGGCACTGGGATTATGTCTCTTTGCTGTGTATGAATGGATGCGCAAGGGAAAGACTGCTGGTATGTCTTCCGATGCTTGGAGAGTTTATCTAACAAGATAGTCAAAACGGACATCGAATGGAAGACTCCTTCGCCAAAGCCACTGATTGACTTCGATCTGGATGCTAAGAAGCCTGAGCTATACCGACCCTGTCGCCATGGACCCAATCACGTCACCATGGGCATTCGAAAGATGGACTGGAACAATTGGATTGAGATGGACTCCAACTTTCTCTGGTATCATGACCTAAAGGTTTCTGAGCTCGAGAAAGACATTGATGCGCATGTTCAATATCTTGACGACGCTGTCACTCGGGATGCCTGTTTTGAGGTTCTGGAGGAGCTGACTGCATACTTGACTGTTCGGTATCCCAAGATCTTTCAGCTCAGCAATGGTATTCTTCGCAATACTTTGACCAAGGAGGAATTCACCTACCCAGCCAGTATGCATGCCCCTCATAGACAAGACCTTGCTGACCATCAGATACGCCTAAGGAAGCGATGGCAACAGCTACCAAACTCGTCCAGGACGATCTTATCATCATGGTTGAAGAAGACGGTAAGTTGCCTTAGTCTTTCTCACACTCGGCTGACATCTTAGATGGTCAATACCACCTCGATGCTGGAGCTGTTTGTCTCCCTGGTTTCTGGCGATTGAGCGAAAAGTTCAGAATGTCTCTAGACACTCTACACATTGAAGCCAAGGTTCCTCACTACCAGTCGAAGCTGCAAAAGTCTATGAACCGCTTTTTCAAGACGATGCAGCCAGATAAAGCAGTGATCCGTAACAACGTGAGTCTGTTCCCTGTCTTTTAGTGCATTGCTGATGTTGTAGTTCTTCATTCAACTCGACGATGGTCTCCACTGGTCCCACCGCATGGGTGATCAAGACAGCAACGAAGTAGCTTGTAAGTCAACCACTCTCTCTTCTCAGTGAACTCGTCTAACAATCCAGCCTGGGAAACGGCAAATGACAAGGGTCTTACCATCAACGACCTCTACTTCCGCTCTGAGAGACAGTCCCTCCGACGACTTCCTCGATCTAAAGCTCTTCTCTTCACGGTGCGCACATACTTTGAGCAAGTCACCAAAATCGCACAAGAGCCCCATGTACCAGGGCGTCTCGCTGAGGCGATTGAGAACTGGGATGAGGCAGCTTCAAAGTACAAGGGCAAACATCACTGGGCGGATATTCTCTTGCCGTATTTGCACGAACAAGACAATTTGCAGAAGAAATCAGGAGTATTGGAGAAAGTTCCAGAGGGAAGCTTCCCATACTAGAAAAGTAGGCAGAAACATAAATGCTCTGATCACTTGTTATGTCCCACTCACTCTGGCCAATGGGGATCTACGGACTAATATTATTCCTGCGGGCATGTCAGCCTGCTTACGCGGTGGCATCTGAGGCGGTAAGACCTCACCAACTCCATTGCAATCCAGAGATACAAGCCGAGATAAGTCGCGTCATGTCGCTCACTGAGTTCCATTACTTCTCATCACTCCCCTTGGAGCTCCGCCAAGAGATCTACAGCTTAGCCACGCCACCCCGATTTGTCGATGTCCAACGATTTACTGAGCAAGATTACGATGAATTTGCTGAGCGTATACGCACAACACCAAACGCCATTCGCCTGGATGAGTCTCTGACACACTTCTCCTTCAATTGGCGATCTCAGATTCCGTCTCGGACCAAGCAGCGAACACTTGAGCGCTATGGCTTTTCGAGCACCAAGTCCCCGTATCAGCCCTGGAACGTTTCCAAGCTCGCACCTCAAATCAGTCTTGACTGGCTAAGTGAGAACCCTGGTTATGCTTGGGAACTTTGTAGGGAAGGCGAAATGTTTAGCAACGCTCCAATTCCTGCACTCTTGCATACGTGCCATGAATCTCGAGACCACTTGATCAAGAGAGGCTATCAGCTTGCCTTTCGCACACGGTCTCATGGTCCTCGAACATGGTTCAATTTTGAGACGGATGTCCTATCCATCTCCCAAGGAGACGATTGGGGTACGAAGCATCGAATACTTAGTGGCTGTGCGTGGGATATCGGCCAATTCCATCCCATCGACATGCAAAAAGTCAAAAGAATCGCCTTGGACAACTCTACAGGCTCGCTTTATCTCTCACATCCCAGTTTTTCCGAGGGCAATTACAAGTTCTCTGATCTTTCATCTGTAGTACGACTCTTCCAGCATCTCAAGGAGCTACTCCTGGTAGAATGGACAGACTTCTACATGGACGAAATCCGCCCATGGAATACCTCAACCGCCAAGGGGCAGAAACGACACAGCTACGACACAGAATATCTTTGGAGATATCAACCCGTCAGTGAGGTTGATGCATCTCTGCAAATGTTTCCGCCTGAGGGCTATTCAAATACCTTGGTAGTCGCATGCATCGGGCCGTACGGAGAACTTCTCAAGCATCACAAGACGCTACAAAGAAATGAGTACTTCGAGATAGTTCAGAACTCTCTACAAGATAAGCTTATTAAGAACCGGAACTCTGCGGTTTCAAGACACAAGCCGGATGTGGACTTATGGTGGGAGATACCGAAAGTCACCGCCGTGCATCTCATGTCAAACTGGGGACACGAACATCTTGGCCGGGCTCGGGAGGAGGCCCTGAGTCGGGCTTATGAGCTTCGACAGAAGTGGCTGGCTGAGGAGAAACGACGCTATGACCCCTTAACACATGGACAAGTAGACGACTTTGAGGCGGATGAAGAGGCACTCAACCTCGTTTTAGAGGCAGAGGATCCCTTTGAGGCGCAACGGACATGGTGGATTCGGCAATGGATAATCCCTTTTATTAATTAGTGAGAAATTGACAAGTGTTCGGTAAAAGGTAATGCATTCCCTGGGGTAATATCTGTGCTTATTGTCCATAGAGATGAAGAAATCTTGGTCTAATCAAGCCCCAGGGAGTAAAATAGTATTGCGACCCGGGGACAAGATCGGAGGAGCGTTATGGAAATGAAGCCTATATAGCTAAAACGCCAGAGATTATACGTAGGTTTTGATATCAGTCTTTTTCCCTGTTGCTACTTCTCTCTCACGTTGGCGATTATTAACTAGAAGGGTAAGGCTATTAATGTATAGCTTTCATCCAGCCTTTTCGGACTTCTCATTCGGTGTGATGGCTGTACTGCTGTCACCCTCATTCGCCTCGAGTGCCAACTGGTCATACTTCTTGGCCAGAATCTCAACCGCCCCCAAGTTCCACTCCTCTTCCAGCGTCACAACCGTCACTGGAAACGTCGATCTAACGTAGTAAGGGACCAGCGCTTGGTCGTCCTTCCACGTCGTGCTTCCCCTCAGCGCGGTCATGTCTGCATTCGTCATGCGGTCCCGCATCAGCCGGCATATGGCGGACGAGACGTATACGTGCTGGCCTTGGTCGTAGAGGCCTTTGACAGCAAGGAGAAGCGTTGCACGGAGAGTTTCAAGAGCTTTCACATCATCAGGGGATATTGAGTTCCTATTCATGTTCTCGATGGTCGAATATGCTAGGATGGAGAGGAAATAGGTTAGATATGTGTCACCGTGCTCGAAGCTGTGGCGTAGGTGGTAGAGACGGAGTACAGTTTCGAGGCATCGTAACGCGTATTGAACCGTTTTGGAAGGTTGAGCGTTATTGTTAACTGCTTCACCTGTTGGTGTGCGTGGTGGCTCTATCTCTTGCGCCATTTCGGCGACTTTAAAGAGCAGAACGCAGTACTCCATGCTGCCTATATGTCAACATCGAGGCCCGCGTAATGCAGTCTTGTTACTGTTCTGAGACTTACTGCATTATGAGCTGGGACGGTAGCACTGCCCTGTGCGACTTGATTTGTTCTGGTAGCCGAATGTACCATTCATCAAGTACCTTTTGTAAACGTTGAACCTCGCTTGCCGGCAAGGTACGGGCATCCTTTTGCCCTGTAAACCTAATACAGGTAATGGCATTTGAAATAACGCGTAGTTCCGTTTGAGCTCGATAGACGTATGCAAAGTGAATTGGTACCAGCGTCAAACTGGGCGGGTACTTTAACCACAGTTCGCCATACCACAAAGGCTCCTCGTCTGGGTCTGGCATAGGCGTCGCTGGAGGTCCTCTGATGAGGGGGGCTTTCAAGTTGTGGAAGGCCTGCAACCTGTAGTCTGTTTATCAGCCTGTCCTAGGTTGTCAAGAACATAGAGCAAGACCCACGATTGCCAGCGATACAGGGCCCAAGCAGTAAATACACGGGCAGTCCTCGTTCTCCCTTCCGTTTGCTCCGGTGCAAAGAGCTTCAGGTCCTGTGCTATTTGAACTGCCTGAAGCAGATAAGATATGCCGACCTGATCCATCCCGTTCATGGTATAGATGGTGTGCAATACCATTGCAGCATGTAGAGTAGTGAGTTTACACTTACTGGTCTCTTGTTCCAAGAGCCGTTTTGCCTCTGTGAGAAACGCATAGCCCAGAGTCTCTGATCTCCAGGTAAGGTGGGTGGCTTTACGACAACTATGCTAAGAAAGTGTTAGCAGATCTATACGTTATTGGGTTCTTGTGACCTACGCAAGCTTCAGCCAGGACAGCATTGACAAGTAATGGAGAACAAAATCGAGAATCACTGTCTCGCATGGCTTGGAGAAAGATGTCTTTCTGAAAACAAGTATAATTCGCATAGTCATGGAGAAAGTATGATCGCAAGAGTGTGCGCAGCAACTCATCGTCTGCTTCAACTGATGTCCACTTGGAAACTTGGATATCCGGTATGTAGGGGTCCATTAGTCCTGCTATCTTACAGGGCGTCATGTTTATGGTCTCAAACCCGTTTACCCAAGCCTCTGTTTGCTCTGGTGATAGCGGCAGAACGTGAGACGTGACTTCGAATATTGTGGAGCCGAGATACGGATTGTCTGGTGATAGTAGAGCAGCAGGCATGGAAGTGGAACATGGGAACTCATAATGAAGTCGTGTCTCTGGTGCCCATGCTGGCTGCAGTGGAAGGTCGCCGTCTTGCACCTGGCGCATGGTTGTGGCAACATCGGCGCCCTCGCGAAGCCTGCGGAAGACACCATGGGCTTCTCGATCCGGTAGACTCGTCAGAAGAAAGTAGAGTTGCTCATAAAGACTGGACCTTTCTTGTACCTCATCATACTTCCGCTTCAGGTCCCATCTCGTAGCCTGGTAATTGCATTGGATATTCCTGTTGATGCAACTATTGCATTTTGGACGTTGGCCACTGCACTGGGTGAGAATAAATGGCTAGTTAGCAGGTTCGAACTTCTCAGCTCTCTAGAAAGGAGAAAATGTGAGATTTTATATGTACTTTAGCCTTTCGTTTCCGACATGACTCGCAGGCGATCTTTGTCGGGTTGGCTCGAGGAGGGAGATAGGATGGTAGAGGTAACCCGTGCCCAGAGCCAGAACCGGTGTTCTCACAAGTCGAAACTGGAGCTGGTACAAGTCTACGAAATCCAGTGATACTCGAAGGCTCTCTGTTGTTGTCGAGAGATCGGAGGGGAGAGGGGCAGGACATGTGAGAGTGCGTAACACGGTTGAGGAGAATGGACTAGGTAAGTATGGTGCAATTCTATGGAAGTGAAACAACTTAGTAACAGTAAAGAGATCAAGATAGTAGGGGGATAGATGGGGATTTGCTCTCTCTGTGTATGTAATCAGTAAATAATGCTTCGCTCCAGCAATACCAAGAGCTTCTTAATGTATGGAGCGGGGCGGGGTTTTTGCTATAAAGGGGTAAGTTTACTGAAGTAGTGACGTCATACGCAGTCATAGGTAGTGTTTGTCGAATAGCAGGAAGAGAGCTTAATAATCGAGCTGAGGGGCTGCGCCAAGATCATGGTTAAGAATACTTACGAGCTTTTGAATAGATTGTATTAAAAGTTAGCCAGCTGCGAAACAACCCAGGGCATCAGTAGAAAACATCTAATAAACTAAAGACCATAGACACAAGGTCCGTCAGCAGACAGCTAACAAGACCCCTTATCCTTAGGAAATTCACTTTAATTAGTAAATCTCATACAGCTTATTCTTAATATATTTTCTTTATATAAAAGTCATTAACTCCAGTAATCTACTTAGCTTCTCTCTTGATTTATATATAATATAGCGAGGTTGGTCAATAGGGTATTATAAGGAGTAACAGTAACAGAGTATCCTATCCAGTAGGTTATTTTTAGTAAGGAATAGATTATCTACATTAACAAGGATACTATTTTCCTTTCTAGGTCTAGTTAGTTATATATCACTTTTAGAACAAGGAGATATTCCGATCCTTAGCTCTATGAATTCAGACTTTATAAGTATTTACTGGTTTTATAAATAGGTAAGAAATACTAAGCCTTAATAGAGAACAGGTCTTAATACCTCTAACGTAGATCAGCAACAGGTAATAAATTAGCTTATATAGTATTTATAGATATTGAGAAATACTAGGCATTAAAAATATATCTATTTAGATATAAATAGAAGCGTTGTCGATAATAACTGGGTTTCTAACAACTACTCTGCGTTATATAAATCATCCTGCATTCAACATAGCGATCGATAGTCTCTCTCTCAAAGTAAAGCTAGCAATAGTTACTGGCTCGGGCCGAGAAAACAGAATTGGAGTTGCTATAGCTACAGCAATCCACTATGTAAGCGATTCTGTGACTGAGAGAGCCCACGTCATTGCCCAAAGTATACTGGCACATAGAGGAATAGCAGCAGTTGTTCAAACCTCTATCGAAACTCCCGAGGGTGCTCAATACCTGATTGACAAGACGTTGAGAGCATTCAACTCCGACCATATCCATATTCGTAGTACGTATAACCACTGGGACTCATAACAAAACGCTAAATCGTCATCTGAAGTCGATAATGCAGGAGTACCTATCTTTGGCGAGACAACGGCAGTAACGCCTACACAATTGACGGAAGTACTCGATGTCAACGTCAAGGGTCCAATCTTTGTTGGCCAAGCCGTTGTACCTGTCATTACACCCGGCGGCCGTATAGTGAACGTCAGTTCAATAGCATCCAAGCTTGGTGACAATTTCATCCCAGTATACGGTGCTTCCAAAGCTGCGCTCGACAGTCTCACTTGGTCATAGGCTAAGGAGGTAAGCCTTTACTCTGATATCAATGTGCTTTGTCTAACACAAAGATCAGTGGGGACGCAGCAAGAGTATCACAGTCAACGCAGTTGCCCCTGGCCCTGCCTTGACTGATGCAATTCCTCCAGCCATAGCCAATGATTTTCAACGGCCATCTATCGAGATGACACGGGCTGCTGATAGGGCTGGTACTGCGGGGGATATCGCAGACGCAGTGCTTTTGCTGGTTTCTGAGAAAGCGAGATTGATCACGGCACAGTACATCCCTGTTAGTGGTGGAGTGACCAACTGAGATGGTGCGAGTCACAATGCATCTTCAGTCAACACCCACAACGCCTTTATGCTGCTATATACTATGCCATCTGGATACTGAAAGTGATTACTGTAGCTGTAAAACACGAATGTTGTTAATCGTACCTCCAAACGCTCTTTGCGGGCAGACCAGGATCTGCTTTCAGCTTTAGTGCTGACAGCCAGAATCCTACAACAGGGGCTGTACTCACGGATCACCGTGAATACAGCGGCTCATTTAAAGCAAGGTCCTCGCCAACAATTACGCATGCATCTCACCTCTTCAACTCCATCCCAAACCTACAATGTCGACCTCCCGAGTCAGCAATCATCCTCCACCGGTAGAGTTAATGTTTCTCAACATCGCTCGACCAGAGGATATAAAAGACCGCAAGACTCAGAGAAGAATCAACAGTCATGATGAAGCCAATTGGCATTACTTAGAGATGCGCCCGCCCAGACAATAAGGGACAAACAACCGTGAAATTTATAAAATCTATAGCAGGTATATATAAAGACTCGTTAATGAGCTCTGAAACTTCAAGCTCCGGCATAAGGACTACAGAAACATCACCTTGTAGACTGGGGGATCAACATTCGCTGAATTTAGTCCTATCTCTTTGCCTCTACTAAAAGCCTGACAGGTGTCCCGTGTCTTTCTTATTAAGCAGTCTGCTTAACACCTCCTACTTATTCTGTTATAACTGAATACCTATATTTATACTTAAGAATAGTATATACAATATTAATATAAGAAATTAAACCTTTAAAATAAAATACTTTTTATACTTATTATATTTAATTTAAATAATTATATATAAGTGAAGTTATCTCTATTAAATAGATTAAGTTACTATAGGGTGGGGCGTCGAGACTTTTAGAGTATAATTTCATCTTTCAGGCCCTGTCACGTTTCTGGCAGGGAACAGGACCTTAGATAGAACCGCCTTATCGATAAGCTTCGCTCCATAGCGTGGATTGACATTGTCTGGTCAACTGGTCTAGTTAAGCTGCATATGGATCTGGCATTTATGGCTGTTTAGGCCCCCTGGAAATGCCCTGACGTAAGGAGTATTCTTCAAAAACGATACCCATTCGCGTCCAGGTAAGATGGCTTGGAAAGCCAACTGAATACCAGCTTTGGTTCATTTATCACATTACAATTGGGGCATCATGTCAATGACTGCTTCCAGGAGGCGTGCCAAATATGGTCCGAATACTGCCACTGGGTTTAAGATGATTCAACTTCTGAGGTTTACTTTATGCTTCTTCAGCCGGACTACAGCCTGCGCCCCCTCTCTGGTTACATTAGCAAATGGGATTTGCTTTCTGAGAAATTTCGTAGGAATTTACAAATACAGGTAGTCATCACTGTGGGTCGAGCCATAATTAAAGTGTCTCGTCTTAATTCCCTGGTATATCGTATGCTCCGCTTCAGCCTTGTGTCTTGCATGATCTAATCTATTAGCTGCATTGTGAAATGAGTCATGAGCTTGCATATGTACTCTTTTTCTTAGGCAACTCCACACAGGGCCAAGAACCCATCAAGCTACTGATGCATAGTCTGTTTTCTCAGCTGACACTGGCAACGTAGATGGCATATTGAAAAGGAACAGTTGTCAGAGGATCTGGCAGACTGAGGTTGCATCGTCTGCTATACCGATAGCCCCCAGGTTCGTCTTGCCTTAAGTAATTTATTCTTCCAAAGGCCAGACTGATAGGCCAAGGCATGCAGCTATCTCCCCAACAGTCATGAAAGCCAATCAGCATCACTCGGAGACGCGCCCGCCGAGAAAACAAGACAGAATATTATTTGGGGGCGGAATTGATGCGGCGATTACTTAATTCATACAACTCACCCTGGCAAGGAACCTTTGCTTAATTCAGCCGGCGAATCACAGATTGGATGCAACGTACAGATCAAATGCCAAGAAGTACGATTGACGTCACTTGGCATTGTGGTTTGTTATTCTCGACCTTGAATCTAAGACCATATTGATGTCATTCCTGGCCTTGAGGTTTAAGGACCTGGCCAGGCCCCCTAGATAATTAAATCTATTCTCCCCCTTATGCTTTCATTCTCCGTCTTCCCTCCATGTTGTTGGACGCTCTTGGGCACACTCCAGTGCGTTATTACATAAGTTCTCTCAGCGATCCCTTACGATGAACCTGAATACCTTGCTCTTATTGCTATCTCTATCCAGCTTGTCATTAGCCCTGAGGTGTGATAATGAAGACGGGGAGTGGGCGGATTACAAGTACAAGCCATGTGGCTCCAGTAACACGCCTTTCTCAACCTGCTGTCTTCCAGGTGATCGATGCTTGGAAAATGGCTTGTGCGAATGGACGGGACACTTCCGCTACCAGGGTGCTTGCTCGAGCGATGATATGAGTAAATGCCAATTCGTCTGTGATCGGAGTTAGTCAATGCCTCATTTTGCCGATCGATACTGACCAGGCGAATAGAGCCCAACGAGCTATTGGTGCAAGTCAACCAATGCGGGTCAGATAAATTCTGTTGTAACCACTCGAATTACACACGCGACGATTGTTGTGACACGAATACAGAGCGTATTTCAATAAAACCTCCCCCTTCCTCCACGTCGCATCCCTCTGCTTCCAAAGAGACGCCTGTGGCAGCTACAGCCGGTGGAGTAGTCGGAGGAGTTGCTGGTCTTGCTGTGGTATTGGGTTTGGGATGGTGGTTCATTCGCCGAAAGAGACGGACGCGACAGGAAAGGCATTCGACGGGTACAGATGAAGAAGATGAATCTCCTTCGAAACATGGTCAAGAACCCTCCCGTTCAATGGCAGAAGCAGATGCAGGTCCAGATAGTGTCTTGGTGGAGTCAGATGCTCATCCTGTAAAGCCAAAGGTTCTACACGAGCTGCAGGCTTAGATTTAACCTCCCGTTCTACCACTTTAGCTTTTGAGGCATCTTAGTTCTTTAGATAAACTTGATCGCTATATTTATTGTAATTCTGAGAGCATAGATAGGTTCATAGAAAAGAGGGTCTATGTCGAGAAAGGGGTAGCATTCTGTCTCAGTGTCTCTTCGTAAGGCCAACATCCATCGTGGGGCTGTTATCGTAACGCTGATAGAGCCTAACGTAGTGGCCACTAGTTGGGTTTTCATCCAGTAACGGTGTCAAGCTGGATAAGAGGATATTATCCAGTGGCGGCAAGGTCGGCAAATGGGGATAACGAATGCAAGCATCGAGGCGCTACGAATCGAAATGCACATGATGATTGATGGGGGAACTTCAGTCTCTGGCGTTGAATACTCTTCAGTGATCTACACGACCATGCTCATAGCAGAGTGAGCGAATGCAGGAGGTAGGAGTGTAATGAAAAATAAACACCCTCCCCAGAGATCTACATGGGCTAAGATTTAGATACTGTTTTAGGGCTCTTAGTTTAGCCTGTTGAAAACTGGGATGAAACTCAATTTTCGTTATAGCGTGACATGAGTTACGCTGTATGTGCGGGATGAGCTACGCAAGACAGGTTAGCGTTCCGTAGTACAAAAAGAAGAGCCCCCGCCCCAGACAAATGCTGCACCTCGCGAACCCCTCAACCACTGGCAGTTAAGCAGACAAGAACAGAAGGGCATTGCATATTGACAGCCAGTTAATTAGATTCCACATGAGCTCCGCATTATGGTGTTCCATGGTCGTCCCTCAAGGGATTGCGCTCCCTGCAGGAACAGGAAGACTCGGGTAAATAACCTCCCTGGCTTGAGTGGAAAGAATATCAGTATCTGACGACACAATACTAATAAACGTTACGCAGTGTGACTTGGTCCCTGCGGGCTGTGGCCAATGCCGTAGAGCCAAACTGACCTGTCACGGGTACCGTAGTCCAGATGAGTTGGTCTTTCGTGACGAGACTAGGAAGACGGCGCAAAAGGCAGCAGCACGCGAACGAGCCACTCGGCTACCAGCTGCACCTCAATGGAGTTCTGATACGTCGTCTCGGCAAGCATTCCTATCACTTTACGTTGGTACCTACTCACGTGGCTTCGACGCCCCCTTGCAATCCCTCCTGGCGGATTCTGGCCCCAACGGACACCTGCAAATCTGTGTTAATGCTGTGGGTCTGGCTTTCATGGCGTTCCAATTGAATCGTCAAGATTTGGTACCTCTTGCAAACAAGCAATACCTGAAAGCAATACATCGGCTTGGATTGGTGGTAGGAAGCTCGCTGCAAGCGAATAATGTTGTGGCCAACCAGTCACTCAGCAACGAAACCCTTCAATCTGTACTCTTGCTGGACCTTTATGAGAAAATGTCCAACCAATCTCAACAACTGTCAGGGTACCCAAGCCTTCGGCTAAGCCATATCCAAGGAGCGTTCTCGATCATTCAGTCTCGACCTAGAGACGAACTTTCGAACCCGACGATGCAGCAGCTTGCTGGTCGAACTGTTTTTGCCCTTACATATAGCTGCGGTGCTGCAGGGATTCCCATACCGGAAGCATTGGTAGAACTTTATCATCGTCTGGGTAGCCATGTGCTGGGCTCCTCATGGGCCTTGCTCAGACTCTACCTTCGTCTTAACAACTTTGATGCCGCCGTGAAAGCCGGTAAGGTAGACTCAAAGGAGTGTTTAGAGCGCTTGCAAGACTTCCGTGTTGAGATTTCTTCTGCTCAAAGCAAGATACCCCTTTCTTGGCAGCCACACCGGAGATATACAAGTGACGGCTTTGTCTTTAACGGCTACTACGACATCTATCCCCGGCACGATGCGCCTCAGCATTTCAACGCACACCGTATCCTGCGTCTTGCGGTATGCGCCGGCCTGCACAAGTTTCAACCCAGCACAGAAATTGCCGAGGAGATCACACAGGTGACCAGGGAAATATGCGCCAGTGTTCCTCATATCATCCTGCCGACAGCCAGGCCTCAAAATACATTTCCTCTCACGCCGATGCAGATACTTGAGTGCTCTGGTTCGTTGACAGCATTATACGCAGCTGCAAGATTCACACAAGATCCTGCAATGCGCGCTTGGGTTCTTCAGACATTGATGTGTATGGCCGATAATGGTGTAAAGAAGGCGCAAGCAGTTATTGATATTATAAAATATTCACCAGAAATGACTTCATGGGATGTATATAATATAGTAGGTACTTATTCTGTTTTAGGGTATCGCTTTACATAATAGATCTTATATAAGTAAGATAATAAATTTATTTTAAAGGAAGAATTCTTACGTAATTGAAGAGAATACTGAAAGATGGACAGAGACAGGTTCATGCGGTCTTCTCTTTATTCCAGAGTAGCGCGATTACAAGGCATAAAAACTGCCATGCCGATGCAGGCGCTAATGGCGGCCCTGGAGTTAGCTGCGTCCCTGAGATGTTCGGCGACTATTCTCACATCTACAACATCGCTGTGGCGAACATTGGCAGATAAATCTGTAGAGGAACTTTTGTCGACACAGTCGCTCGAAAGTCTGATGTCATCGGCGTGTGGACGCTTCTGCTGTCTGCTGGCGATATAGTTGATGGAGAAGTCGGCGTCTTGGCGTATTACACTTGGAACGATGGTAAAGCCGACCACGATTGTCCCAAACAACCCTCCACTAAAGTTTTCCACGCCAAGCCTACCTCAAAGACACCAGGCGCTAGTAGCGGCGAGATCGCCAGCATTTACGGGCGCACGTATCAGCAATCTCAGCCTGAACACCGCTCAGACTAATGTGGATGTTTTGTTTGAAGCTTGTTTAACGTAGCTCCCTCTTGTGAGATCTGCTGGTTAAGTCTCTTTCCTACTGATCGCATGATGCTGAGAAGAGAACAATCATGGAGGTGGTAAACTTTTATTATCGAAAGTTTATAAGCCGATGACTCCGGGAGAATGGATAGTGGCGGTTTGCGGCACCTTACCTACCAATCAAGAGCAGCCTTCTAATCCTCTTGTGGAAAGGGTTCCGTAGTCTTGTAGAATAGGAATAGCCTCTGAAAATCTGGCTACTAGCTTGTCTAGAGGGTGAGGAAATACAGCCAACGGGCTTTGGTGGGAGATCAGCGATTTTTAGTGTAAGCCGTTCTGTTGTTTTCCCTTATCCCGAGGCTTGTGACTGAGAGCTTGACCTTAGCTTGTCAGACTAGTTCTAATAGGGTGAAATATGTACTAGAGTGTCTGACTAAGTACGCCCGAACTCTAAATTATAGTGGATCACAATGGCAACTATGGTCGCGGAAATAGTTATAATAGGTCCAAGAACTCGTGTGTGAGGCACGTGATATGAGCCATTAGCTGCAGGGACGATCAACTTAAAAGAACACTTTTATCAAAGTCAATCCAGGCAGTAGACCAGCTACCTAATAAAACTACCTAAGATAAGCTTTACAAGCCTATCTGATGATGATCGCGTCTGACTACATGAAGTGGGGCTTGAGCCCTACAGAAACCAGAAGTCCAACTGTGCCTCCCAGGCTCATAGCTTTTAGACAATGCTATTTAAACAGAGAGATAAGAGAGTAAAGACATTACGCTCAAGGCCTTTACCTACCAGACGAGGTAATGCTTAATGAACTTTCAGACAGCCCAGATCTGTTAATTGTTATAACTACAATAGTAATTCAATCCGTTGCCAAACTCTTAGAAAGGCTACATGAGACCCAAGCAGCAATCTAAGCAGTAAGAAACTGGTGCAGGTTTCTGTGCCAATGAATCCAAGCTGTTACAGGCTTAAGTATTCAGAGTTAATGTACAACAGAGCCAATAAGAAAATATCAGGGAACCAATGTATTAATCAGACTTGTAACCAGAGATACAAGAGCTTATACTCTATATGTGATATAACCCGCTGTGACTTTTGCAAGTTCAAATTAACCGCGCCACGTGAAAATCATTTGCTAATCCCTGTAACCCAACTACCGAGGTACTACTTACATAGTGCAAGACGCTACTTCCACGGTGATGTCGATCTTATCCCCGTTAAACGAGCGTCCTTTCTTGTTTTTCCTGAGATCCTCTAGCGCCTGGGGAACAAAATAAACCCCGCTGCAAGCCTTGGGGGCTCGTCTGGCATGCAGTCTTCGATGCGCATTCAGATTGTCTGTGCGAGTAAAGGTGTCCTTGCCGCAGTATTCGCATCTCAGGGGATTTCTGTTAGTATTCCCATGCTTTCTATACTATGGTTAGCAAGTCTTAACTTTTGACTGCTGATTAGGACTTACGTAGTATAGTGACGTTTGGCGTGCTCCTTGCGCTTAAAGGTCTTGGTGCATCCTGGATAACTACAGGGGTAACGGAAAGCGTCCATAAGGGATGGCGCAAAGCTCACCGCAGGGGGGTCTTGCTCATCTACACCAGTCAGTACATATCTAATCTAAAGATTGCAGTGCACTTACTCTCACTGCTCTCAGATGAGCGTTGCTGCGCAACTGAGGCGGGTGGCTCCCAGAGGCTGAAAAGTTCTGACTGAACTCTCTCCGAGATGTTGCGAATGTCAGGATCCATAGCTGATAGATCCCAGACGGTTTCGCCATCAGAGGGAGTCATCAGGTCCCATACCGAACCTTCGGGGACAGAGTAATGGGGAATGGGGCAGGAGATGAATGAATCATGCGAGTCGTGCAGCATATAGTTTGCACTGGGATTCATATAGGTCTCCTGAAAGGTCTTGTTCGTGGGGTACAAAGTAACCCCCATTTCAAAGTGTCGTGGAAGCTGGGTAGTGAAATATGGATCGCATGCGATATCATCATCGCGAAGAGGTGCCTGAGGGTAATCATCCGTGGGACTGTGGTGGACCATATGGTAACTGGTATAGCATTAGTTTCATGTATTTTATCTCCGAAAAGAATTATCTCACAGGTCGAGAGTTTCCCAATTGGTAAAGACCAGCCCAGTAGGGCTTGCAGCACAAGATCCATCCATGTCCATCAGCTCTTGAGCCGGATGATCAAGGAAGGAATCGTACTGTGCCTCCATCATGGATAGAGTGGAAAAGAGTTGAATTGTCTATTCAGTGAATTGAAGAGTTGTGGGCCCGATGTTGAAATCGAAGGAATCCCCTGTCTTATATCATCATGCAGTGTAACAGTGCCGGGCCGCAGGGACTGACACCCGTTGCATAAGATAAACAGACCAAATTCAGGTACAGCTGAAAAAAGTACCTGTCGGTGGGGCAGGGAGTCCGACCGTTAACCCTCATTCCATATCCGAACAGCCGGACCAACTATACTAAACTAGCACTGGTATCATCAATCAATCAAACTATACCAAACTAGTGCAGGGTTTTCTGGTCATGTTACGTAGCGCGTCTCTCAGGGCTGGGCAGAGGTGCGAATACCACGTAGTACCTGAGACCTTTTTGTTTTCTTTGACAAATGGTGAGTTTTGGTGTATTATCAGAGTTTTTGGACATGAAACTCTAAATTAGCCCAGTATGGGCCTATTACTGTAACTGCCTGCATGGGCTTAGTTCAGGCCTGGGTTACTTACATCAATTGTGCAAAATGATCAACACGGGCCAGGGATGCCCTGATCTACGTATCCCCAGGGTGCAAGTAGGTTCAAGACATGCATCACTGCTCTCAGTAGATCATAAGAGCTAGCATCCTCCTCTAGTCTGGGGCTTAGGTCTAGCGCAGTGATCCAGACTCTTATGGCACGATTTGCACCCGAGGCCACGCCGAAGCTTTATATCACGATGATCGTTTCTGAGCCTGTGATCGGAACGCTATCCCAGAAGGGCTGGTATAGTCTCCAAGTTGCAAGCCAGATGTGTTATTTGCAGTTCAGACTGGTGGCTGATCACAAGGAACTTCGCTAACCCAGAGTGTTATCTCGTGTTGCTTATCAACAGACTTAGGGCCAGCAACAAAAGTCTAAAACCGTTATGGCCGACTGCTCGTATGTTTTAACCAACAGATAGCTGAAAAATTCCAACCCCGCACCTAGGGCTTAAAGTAACTAACTTAGCATTGCGCTCAGACCATACGTCATACATTAGCGTGATTTTAGAATCGGTATTACCGGTACGGCATTCACAAATCGCTCAACTACCTAGCGTTGCCCCTGTATCGGCATTTGATTACTTTATAACTCTATAGGGGCATGACTGTACAGGACTTATTGTAGCATATGGATTCCAGCCTTTAAGAATTAACCTGAATTGGCAAGCTTAGTAGCATTGTAAAGACTTGGATAAATAAATTCTGTCTACATAGACTGATGATTAAAGCGATAAGGACCTCTCTAAGAAGACCTTGACTTGGATTTGAAAGAGAGCATAGTTATTTATTCTAAATGAGTCCCATCAAGATCGGCATAAAGGAGGCCAAAAGGCTGACCACAACCAATTCTGCCCTGATTCTGGCAACCATGTCAGAGGATCCAGAAACAAATTGGGGAGCCTCGGTAGATCCAGGCACAGGGCCAGTAGTGTTTGAGCCCGGCTGACCGTCGATAGTAGGTATGTAACCCGAGCCATGGCCAGAGTCGGAAGAGGTTGGCTGGTTGGGTTTGGCATCGAGAGACTTGGTGCCGGTGTGGTGGGAATCCTCGGGCTCAGGATCAGCGGGGCTATATGACCCAGAGCCATAAGGAGCAGAGTGACCAGGTTGTTTTGTCGCACCTGGGAGGTTCTCAGAGCAACCAGTAGTGACAGTTGGGAGCACCCTGGTCGAGACACAGCCTGAGGCCATGTCATTGCCCCCAGCAAGTGCTTCGTGAAGAAGGGAAAGAAGAACGAGAGGTGAAAGTGGCTTCATAGTGACTGAGAAGCGAGTTGTAAATGAGTGAAGGGTTTAAAGAGTCGACGACACTAGATGTGTAGATGTATTATCAGTGTATCACGGTACGAGCTTGTACGTCAAGAGCTTTATATATATGCAGAGACAGTTCATCTTGGGCACAACGGGACTTTCTCAAATCCCGAGAGCATGCGAGGACATGGATTGCGACAATTCTACCTCATGCCGACAGGTTCCGGCTCAATTTTGTTTCATCCCTGAGCTACCAGTGGGCAAAGAAGTTATCCCTTTAGTCGCAGGGCTCTGCATACGATCAGATCGGAGCAACAAATCAAAAACAAGAATTTCTCAGAGTTTAAGACATTCAGTTGTAACCTGATAGCGGACATCGTGATAGTTGCGAGAGTGTTTAGATACGTAGCACCCTATGTTCAGCAGAGACAAAAGACTGCCGGATTCGCCGAGGTCGCTAACCATGTCGAGAATCCGCCATCCCTTAGACTCTAGAAAATCTTTAAGCCCATTATTAAGGGCTCAAAATGGCAGCTGTCAGTCTGATGGCGCTAACCATTGATAGATATCCCCTAAGCGTGGCAACTTCCTAAACGATTGACGTGGCCCCCCTTTCAGCTAATCAGGGGGTACCCTAGCCTTTGGAAAACCGCCGACAGGGCTGGTGTCGGCCATTTTATGTCCGCCCTGTGGGGGAGGGGATACTAGCCCGCCCCCCTGGGCGAGATACGAGATCCATTCAACCCTTTTTCGTAAACTTCAGAAAATACACATTTTTGCATGTGTAAATGGAGACAATACTGTCCGAGAGATCAGCTGCGGAGTAGATCTCCTTGTATGTATATAATATACGATTCCGTCATGGGATCGTAGAGCAAACCACACATTCATTACATAGTCATTCGTTCATTCTTTACATCTCGTCACTCTTTTATTCATTTTCACTCGCTTAGCCTAAGCCATGCATCCTCTGTCCGTCTTCAGACGAGGCGCGGCTCTGGGTCTCGTGAGCAGCGTCTTTGCTGCTCCTGGTCCTGGGCAACAGGCATGTCCCGGTGGTGGTATCCAGATCGTGGAACTCCAGCCATACGAGGTGGTATGTGATGGAAAGACTTCTGTCACCACTGTCACTCGCACTTACACCAAGTACCCCTGGTCATCTGATGTCCCCAACAGTCCGGGCCAGCCTTACGCGTCCGGTAATCCTGGCTCAAAGAGTCCTGATTACCCCGACTCACCTGGATCGCCCGGATATGCCGGTGGTCCGGGTCATCCCGACCAGCCGGGATATGCCCCGCCTTGCGTTGATTGTGTCACCATCACAACCACTGCCACTGCCCCATTCTGCACCACTATCCCCCCCGCTACTAAGGGTGGAGTCTCTACTGTAATCACTGGGGTCCCCCCTCCCTGCACCCGTTGCGTCACTGTCACTACCACTGGATCTGTCCCCTATGTTACCACTATCCCCCCAGCTTCATCTGGTGGGATGAGCACTGTCATCTCTTGTCAAGGGCCAAAGACAGTGACTGTAATCCCCCCTCCTTGCCATGAATGCATTACAGTCACTACGACTGGAACCATTCCCTATGTCACTACTCTACCTCCGGCATCCTCTGGTGGCAAGAGCACTGTCATCACCTGTGCAGGACCGAAGACTGTCACTGACTGGGTTCCGTGTCACGGCTGCGTCACTGTCACTACCACTGGAACCATTCCCTATGTCACTACTGTACCTCCTGCATCCTCTGGTGGCAAGACGACTGTCATTACTTGCGAGGGGCGAAAGACTGTCACTATGACGGCCAAGGTCACGGAAACCAAAACTCTGCTGCCTCCGCCCGACTGCGAGTATTGCACAGCTACAGTTGTCGTTCCTACAAGCCCTGTCACTACTGTGACCACAACAGGACCGGTCCCAGGCACCACGACATTACCTGCCCCACCTGGCTGCACCAAATCATGCACCGCTACTGTCATTGTTACCAAGGGTCTCTTCACTGGTCCCTTTACAACATTGACTACAACTGGAGATATTGCAGGCTCAACTACTCTTTCACCCTCGGGTTGCACAGAGTCTTGCACAGGCACTGTCATTGTTACTAAGGGTATCTTTACTGGTCCGTTCTCAACAGTGACTACAACTGGTCCGACTGAGGGAACTACTACCCTACCTGTCCCCTCTGGCTGCAAGTCTTGTACCGGAACAGTTATTGTTACCAATGGTCCATTTACTGGTCCGTTCTCAACTGTGACTACAACCGGCCCAGTGGCAGGAACAACTACTGAGCCACCGCCTTCTGGTTGCACAAAGTCTTGCACAGGAAAGGTCATCGTTACCAGTGGTCTCTTTACTGGACCATTTACCACACTGACTACGACCGGTCCGACTCCTGGAACTACTACTCTCCCTCTTGCATCTAACTGCGCGGTCATCAAGCCTCGAGATGGACAGGATATGCGACCCGCTGGCTGCACGGCCACAGTCATTGTCACTAATGGCCCCTCTGCGACTCTCGGTCCCTTCACTACCATCTTTACAACTGGTCCTACTGCCGGGACAACGACCATTCCTCGGGCATCAGACTGTTCGTCTTGCTCAGATACTGTCATTATCACCAATAGTCCCAGCTCTTTCACTGGGCCTTTCATAACACGGTCTACAACAGGACCTATCGAAGGTACAACAACACTGCCCCCGGCTTCGGACTGCCCAACTTGCGCTGGTACTGTTGTTGTGACCCAGGGGCCTTTTACAGGCCCTTTTACTACTCGCACGACAACTGGCCCAACTGCTGGTACCATGACCATGCCCCCTAGTTCTAACTGCCCTACCTGTTCGGGAACTGTAGTTGTTACCGAGGGCCCTTTCACTGGTCCCTTTACTACTTTTACCACTACGGGGCCTGTGCCAGGAACAACCACTCAAACCCCTGTATCCCGTTGTCCTACCTGTATTGGTACCGTTGTTGTCACCAATGGCCCGAGGCCCTTGACTACAGTTGTGACAACCGGGCCTGTGCCTGGAACTGCTACACTACCTCCAGCTTCCGACTGTCCAACTTGTCTAGGCACCGTTGTTGTTACAAACGGGCCCTTTACAGGTCCGTTTACTACTATCACCACTACGGGTCTTGTCCCAGGTACATCTGTGGTACCTCCAGCATCAAGCTGTCCCACTTGTGTCGGTACTGTAATTGTGACGGGCTCTCCATCAGGTTCTTCTCCATTTACGACCGTTACTACAACAGGCCCGGTGCCAGGCACTACTACAATTGCTCCTGCGTCTAGTTGCCCTACCTGCTTAGGCACCGTTGTGGTTACAAATGGACCCTTCACAGGACCATTTACGACCATCACTACGACTGGAAATACACCGGGAACTACAACAATCCCTCCTGTATCAAGCTGCCCTACTTGTGTCGGCACCGTTATTGTCACAGGAGTGTCTTCGACTACCCGACCCTTGACGACAGTCACTACAACCGGCCCTGTTCCTGGAACCACTACACTGCCAGTGCCATCTAATTGTATAACCTGCATTGGTACAGTTGTTGTTACAAATGGTCCCTCGAGCACTCGTCCACTCACCACAGTTACTACGACAGGTCCTATTCCTGGCACTACTACTCTCCCTGTGTCTTCTGACTGTGCAACATGTGTCGGTACCGTGGTCGTCACAAATGGCCCATCCAGCTCTCGACCGCTTACCACAGTGAGAACTACTGGTCCCGTTGCTGGTACTACCACTCTGCCCGTGCCTTCAGACTGCCAAACCTGCACTGGCACAGTCGTAATCACTGATGGCCCATCCAGCTCAGCCCCAAGCTCAAGCTCTCGGCCTCTGACGACTCTTTTCACTACTGGACCTACTGCTGGCACTACAACACTACCTGTGCCTTCCGGTTGCTTAACCTGCACAGAAACTGTCGTTGTTACTAACGGTCCCTCGAGCTTGAGCTCTCAACCTCTGACGACTATCAGAACCACTGGTCCTGTTGCAGGTACCACAACGCTGCCTGTGTCTTCTGGCTGTACAACCTGCACTGGCACTGTAGTGGTCACTGACGTTCCAAGCTCATCCAGCTCACCGACTGTTTCCACCTCGAGCTCTCGGCCTCTGACTACTATCAGAACTACTTGTCCTGCTGCAGGCACTACAACGCTTCCGGTATCATCAGGGTGCACAACCTGCACTGGTACTGTCATCGTGACAGATGCACCGTCTAGCTCAACCTCCCAGCCTCTGACTACTATCAGAACCACTGGTCCTGTTGCAGGAACCACCACTCTCCCGGTATCTTCAGGGTGCACAACCTGTACTGGTACTGTAATAGTTACCGATGCTCCATCTAGTTCAAGCCTTTCGTCGTCGGCTGCTTCCTCAAGCTCCTCTAGCTCGAGTGCTTCATCTACCTCAATTGTCTCGTCTTCGACATCTTCTCCATCTTCTTCCTCCTCAATCTCAGCAACATCTACTTCGATGTCTTCTTCGTCGGCTTCGTCCTCAAGTTCTTCCTCTTCGGCCATTTCGTCCTCGAGCTCATCTAGCTTGGCTTCCTCATCCAGCACAGCCCCCTCTTCTAGCTCGGCTACAACTTCCTCGACCTCCTCTACTTCAGCTACTTCAAGCACAAGTTCAAGCACCGAAGTAGTCACACGTCTTACTACAGTGACCTCAACTGCCACTCAAACTGGAGCAACTACTCTACCGGCTACTGATGGAGGAACCACAACTGTTATTACATATGTTCCTTTTATCACTCGGCTGACTACAATCACCCGAGCTACCACAACGTCTGGCCTCACAACCCTCCCTGCTACTGAGGGAGGAACCACGACTGTCGTCACTTACGAGTGTACTGTCACCCAAACTCAGTCAGCGTCAGCAAGTGGGACACAGTCGTCTTCGGCGTCATTCACTGTACCTGCTTGCGCTACAGCCATGCGTTTTATCGTCATTGGTGGACAGGGCGGCCAGGGCACCCTCGGTGGTCCTGGACAGAATATCTCTGGAACAGTGAGTTCCGTAGTGCCTGGACAAGTTGTTCAACTTATAGCAGGAGGCGAAGGAATACAGTCGCCCCGCGGTGGAAGTGCAGCTGGCGGACGAGGAGACGGAAACGGTGGAACTGCCTATGATGGTGGCTACAGTGGAGGCGGAGGATCCAGCTTGTCTTTGGCAGGCAATAAGGTAATCATCGCGGGTGGCGGTGGTGGTTCCGGTACCGGCGCCTCTACTAACGGAAATAACCCTCTCCAAGAAGTAAATGATGGAAAGAAGGGTGCTGGAGGTGGTGAAAATGGTAGGACGGAATATATCACGCCAACTGGAGACCCAAATACCCACATTTGTACGCTGAACGGAGGCTTGGGTGGTACTGAATCTGGTGCCGGTAATGGAGGAACTACATCAGGAACTTGCACCGGTCCAAATAATGGTAGCAATGGATCTGGGGGCAATGGTGGTGATGGCGCTCACGGGGCCAATGGTCAAACTTATCCGGGCGCGGGTGGTGGCGGTGGAGGTTATTTTGGTGGTGGTGGTGGTTCCAGTGGCCGCGTCGATCGTGCAGGAGGCAACCAACAGTGGGGTTCCGGTGGTGGTGGTGGTTCAAACTTTGTACGCTCTGGCCAAGCAGTGACCTACGGATCAGCCTATGGTCCTGGTATAGTTACTGTCGTGTTTATCGGCTAAGCTATCAGTTAGGATACTTATATCTCTGTTCTTAGAGGCTTGCCCCTTGAGCTTTTTTTCTTTCTTCTTTATGTATATAATCTATTATATTCTTATTTCCTTAATAGAATTTAATTATATACTTGGCTTTTAATTAATTTAAGTATTTTAGTTGACTTTCTGCGATATCAGCACGATACTGAAATCTCTATAAATAACCTCTTTAAGCAGTGCATGGTGCGGCCTGTGAAGTTTCTGGTGTTCTCACCAATCTGCACTATCTTTGCTCTTTACCTGGATCTGGTATACCGCTATATCTACAATCTTTTTACATCTGTCCTGTATATGTTCGAGGATGCATATGGCTTTTCTACAAAGACAGTTGGCCTTGTCTATCTTGGACTTGGTGTTGGCAGCTTTATGGTAATGGCTTCGTTTCCGGTAGATGGCAACAATGAAGTCAAGAAGCAGCTGACTGTCTTTAACTTCAAGCCAGAGGATAGGCTAACACCGCTGCCCCATGCTGCCATTGTATTTCCTGTCGGCTTTATTACATATGGCTGGACTGCCGAGTATAAAACTCACCTAATGGCTCCAATCATTGGTTTAGCATTAGTGAGCCGGTCCTTCTTCGTAACTAACAACGCAAACTGACTAACCCAGGAAATCTGGTTTGCTTTATGGTCATTTTTGTATATCTTATGGACGCATACGAGCTATATGATGCCTTGGCCCCTGCAGCCAGCATTATTATAAGACCCATCATTACGGCTACTGTCCCTCTTTGCGGGCTGAAGATGTACTATGCATTAGGCCCTGGATCGGAGAACAGGATGCTTAGATTTATCGCAGTAGCCCTCATACCAGCCCCGTGTTTTATTCTGCGATATGGTGAGCACTTGAGGAAGAGGTTTGCCATCGAGAACCTTTAACTTGCGGCTGGTACAACGATCTGTATCGAGTTTAACTATATGGTTAACTACTGCCTATACGGCGAAGCCTTAGGCTGTGGATGGGTAATGAATAACAACACCGCTGTCTTGGTACAGGAACAGCCCCAGTCGAGTCTAATGCCTGACCAGAGATAATAGAAGTGTCTATTGATTATAGCTTAATATATAGAGTATTTAAATGTATTATTATACCTTAACCTAGCTATATATAACTAAGTAAGGAAATACTTAAGCAAGACCTTGTTAGATAACTTTTTTACTATATATAATAGAAAAAGAAAGCTATTAAAAAGTCTACCTAGCTAAAGAAGACAATAGTAATAAAGCCAGCAGCGCTATTTGTACTACTTGTAGTTGTTATGCCGCTAGCGACATAGTTAGAACCACCACCGCCTTTAGCACCTGTAGCAGCTTTACTGTTACCGACTGTTTTCTGGGCAACACCTCCACTGCCACCGCCATAGTAACCAGCTCCACCTCCTCCAGAACCTAGAGGGACGTCCCCGAAACCAGGTCTACCATTGCCACCGTTTTTGCCCGCGCCGGCATTACCGTTGGTAGACAAGTCGGGACTTCCACTGACAGTGCCTCCGGCGCCCGGAGCACTTGAGCTAGCTCCTCGACCACCCTGATTGGTGACGGTGTGTTGGTTGGGAGTTGCCCTCAACGCGATGTAAGCAGTGTTACCATTGAAGCCCCCGCCATTACCACTGTCACCACTGAAGGTAATGGTTTGACTGTCGGTGTCGTCAAGATTGGTAAACTTGCCTCCACCGCCACCACCACCAGCGACAACGATTAAATTACCATCCAGTGTCAAGGACGACCCTGCACCACCGGCACCAGCGGAGTCTCTGGCGGTACCGCCTGTACCATATCCAATTCCACCGGGACTCACCCCAGAAGCCCGGCCAACTCCACCCTTTCCACCTGCCAAGAGCACTACCCTTTGCCCCGGTGTGACAGATACTGTTCCCGATAGTTGAGCACCCCTGCCACCGTTGTCGGAAGCGACACCACCACTAGAAGCACCTCCACCTTCACCGCCTGCAACAATGAAACGCATCGCCGTAGCGCAAGCTGGTACAACAACAGTGCTTGCAGCCGATTCTGTATTGACCGCCGAGACTGAGTTGGTTTGAGTGACGGTACAGGCAGATGCAGATGAAGTACTTGATGATGAAGTGCTTGATGATGAAGTACTTGATGACCTAGATGTTGATGAAGTGCTTGATGAAGTACTTGATGAAGTGCTTGATGAAGTGCTTGATGAAGTGCTTGATGAAGTGCTTGATGATGAAGTACTTGAGGCCTCTGATGAAGTAGTCGAAGATAAATCACTCGATACCTCAGATGATGAAGTGCTTGATACCTCAGATGAGGTAGTTAATGATAAGCCACTTGATGCTTCTGATGAAGTGGTTGACAAGAAGGTATTTGATGTCTGAGACAAGGTAGTTGATGATAAAGTGCTTGAGGCTTCCGATAAAGTGGCAGTAGAGGAAGCAGCTGGAGGTGTAACAATTATAATGACAGTGCCAGTCTCACCGGGTACAGTTCCAGTTATAGTTGTTAGCCCAGTGGCAGTCCCAGTAGACGTGATGGTTGTAAAGGGCGGGATGGTTGTCAGTCCCGTAGTCGCGGCCGTGGATGGTAAAGTGGTAACTACACCGCCTGACGTGTTTGACGTGGCAGGAACTGTACTGGATGGAGGCAGTGGGACATATGTAATTACAGTATCAGTTCCAGTAGCTTCAGTGTTTGTAATAGTAGTTGCATAAGGTGTTGTGCCTGTGCCAACAGACGTGATAGTTATAGTTGACCTAGTAGGTCCAGGTGTAGAGGGAACGACGGTGATGACTGTGTCTGTTCCAGTGGTTCCAGTACCTTTCATGGTAGTTGCATAAGGCGTTGTATCTGTACCAGTAGACGTAATAGTGGTCGTGGGCCAAGTAGCGACAGGCTCGGTAGTCGATGGAACATATGTAACTACAGTATCAGTTCCAGTGGTGCCAGTGCCAGTGATGGTGGTTGCATAAGGCGTTGTACCTGTGCCAATGGATGTGACAGTGATGGTGGGCCTAGCAGGCTCAGGAGTAGAGGGAACAAAGGTGATCACGGTGTCGATTCCAATTGTGCCAGTGCCCGTGACGGTTGTTGCATAAGGCACGGTACCTGTACCAATAGATGTAATAGTTATAGTTGGCCTAATGGCGTCTGGAGTAGAAGGAACAAAGGTGACCACCGTGTCGGTTTCAGTGCCTGTAATAGTTGTTGCATAAGGCGTTGTACCGGTACCAGTGGAGGTAACGGTTGTGACTGGCCTGGAAGTAGTAGGTACGTAGACAACCACTGTATCAGTCTCGGTCCCAGTAATCGTAGTCGATGAGGTTACAAAACCTGTACCAATGGAGGTAACAGTTATAAGTGGCTTTGAAGTGGTAGGTACATATACAACAACTGTATCGGTCCCGGTTCCAGTGATTGTAGTCGCTGAGGTCACAGTACCTGTGCCTGTGGATGTAACCGTCACAACTGGCTGTGAAGGGGTAGGCACGATAACCACCACGGTTCTAGTTCTGGTTCCAGTATTAGCCAGAGTTGTTGTTGTAAGCGAAGTCACTGAACCGAAACTCGTAATTGTTGTGTACTGTGGAGGAACCGACGTGATAATCACAGTACCTTCGCAAGTCGGGCAATTGGAGGCAGGGGGTACTGTAGTGGTTCCAGGGACACTGCCGGTCGTTATGACTGTCGTGAAAGAAGCTGGAGGAACCGTCACTACAACGGTACCTATACAAGTAGGGCAGCTTGAGGAAGGCGGCACCGTAGTAGTACCAGGTACAGAACCGGTAGTGGTGATTGTAGTATAAGAAGCTGGAGGAACTGTAACAACTACATTACCCCCGCACGTTAGACAACCTGACGCAGGGGGGATTGTGGTTGTACCAGGCGAAGGACCGGTAGTGGTAACTGTTGTGTAAGAAGCAGGAGGAATAGTAATAATAACAGTACCCTGGCAGGTGGCACAGATTGAAGCCGGGGGCACTGTAGTAGTACCAGGCACAGAACCGGTTGTGGTGATCGTTGTGAATCGATCTGTGCTTGATAAACCGGGGACTGAGGTGACCCGAATGGTGGTGAAGCATGATTGGGAGCAATCTGTCGCAGGAGGGATGGTCTCTGTGCCGGGGACAGTACCAGTAGTGGTCAATGTTACGATCGGGCCGGTTGGTTCAGGTCCAGGAGTAACAGTGACAATAACAGTTCCTCCGCATCCTTTGGTGCAGCCAGAAGATGGGCGGATAGTCGTTATGCCAGGAACAGTACCGGTTGTAGTCAGTGTTACAGCAGGATCAGATGATCTGGGAGTAACAGTAACAACAACAGTTCCCCCACAGCCTTTGGTACAGCCAGGTGCTGGGGGCATAGTGGTAGTACCGGGAACATTGCCAGTTTGGGTCAGGGTTGTCGTGAGAACCGGAGGCACAATCAGTGTGGCCGCGCAGTGGGTGCAGCCAGACGAAGCGCTGACAAAGCTAGAATCAGGTAGCTTGGCGGTCACAGTTACCGTGACTGGGCCAGGGCATATGGCTAGCGTTGTCTTGCCGCCATCAGAGGCAGGAGGGATATAGGAGATGTAAGGAGTTGGCCCTGGCTTGGTGACAGTAACGCAGCCCTCACATACAGGAGGTACCCCAGTAATGACAGTTGAAGGTCCGCCCTGAGTATTGGGGGAAACAGTAGTACAAAAAGGGGAGGGAACGGTAGTGGTGATTGTTATGCAGTCCTCACAGGGAGGAGTGATGCCGGTAATGACAGTTGAAGGGCCTCCCTTGGTAGCGGGAGGAATTGTAGTACAGAAAGGAGTATTGGCGGTGGTCGTGATAGTCACACAGCCTTTGCAGGGACGCTCGTTTCCGGATGATAAAGGGGGGTGCAGGGCCGTGGAGGAATCGGGCGAGCCAGATCGACCCAGGCTACTCAGGGCTATAGAGGAACCTGGATACTGGGTGTAGCGTCTGAGGCTGTCAGTTGTTAGTTAAGGGGAAACGAAAATTCATTGCATTCTTACCGAGTGATTGTGCTGGTCAGCGTTTTGCCATCGCAAATGACTTCAACAGGCTGAAGCTCCACAACTTCGATGCCGTCGTCGGGGAGACAGGCCTTAAGCCCGGGAGCAGCAAAGACGCTGCCAGCCAGGCCGAGGGCAATAGCAGTTCCCCGTACGAGCGAGGAGGAAGGGCGCATGACTTTGAGATAGTCGAGCTTAAAGAAGGAAAGGTGCAGTAACTAATGGCATAAAACGGGGAAATGGCATGCGTTTGAATATTTGATCTTTGAGAGAAGATTCTCTTGTATAAATACAGAAACTTCGACTGTTCTCAATTATCAAAAGGAAAAGAAAGATAAAGAAATTCCATATTCAGCAATTTGCCTTGTTCTGAGATCTCTGTGTTGGCCAAGCTGATGAGTAGCTCTTGGTAGATCCCTTATCTGCGAGGGCTAGCCAAGGGCTAGCCAAGTGCGTCGCTATCACTACAGTTCATGGATCGAATTTAGGTTTACTAACGCTCTGGCAACCCCGATATGTCGACATCTCGTCAACCCCGGATCGTCCTGCTTGAACAATCTACGCCTCTAAGGGAAAATCCCCGAGAATCCAAGGGAGGATCCCTGCTCAGCTGAGATCAGATTCCAAGATCCTTAGTAATGTAGCTATCGTCAATCTCATGGTTAGCTGCGAAGTATATCCTCTATTCGCTCTAGTATGTCTGTCAGTAGCAGCTGTAGAAGCAAGATTTTACTGTGGATATGGTTCCACGCGATCATCTCATCCAAGAACCCCCACTATCGCAGTCCAAATTAAATATCGGCTTTTGAATTCGCGTCTTTGCCTAAATGTACTCAGACCTTGTCATCCGGAGAAGGCAAGGTCCCCCTACGCTGTAATCAACCTCGAATACTGAGTCAACAGGTCGCCTCTCAGGCTATGCTGTAATCGGACGTTGCCAAATTTGTAGGCCACGGTGTAACGTGGCACCATGACTGACATTCAAACTGTTCTCATATACTATTCGTCAAATATATGCGCATGGTCATCTGAGGGATAATGTGAGCCTTGTTGTAAAACCTTGGACTCGATATAAATAAGACCTGTCGGACCTGCTCAGATTCTCGCCCAGGACATTCTTTTCAAATCTCATATATCCTTTTTCAAGCCCCAAAGCCACTCTTTCGACCATGAAGCACTGGTCGCTATTCGCTTTCGCCCATCTCCTTAACGGAGAGATGGCTCTAGGCAGCAAGCCTGCCAACTGCGCCACAACCACTGTGCTTTCGGTTATAACGACATCCATATGCTCTGCAGGCTCACCCGCTCTGCCAACGGCAGTAATGACTGGTAGTAACGGTTGTGTTCCTGATCAATACAGCCAGGAAGCGTCGGCCCCCTCGGCTGTCATCCCTGGCTCTGCCCCCCGCATCTCCATGTCCCATGGATCCGCCGAGAGTCCCTCGGATGGAACCGATGAAAAGGCCCTTCAGAAAGGAGTTAGTCTCCATACCGGCGAGGCTAGCGACGCTACTCAGACCATCAAACCCACGGCTGCCCCAGACGTCGGCGCAGGAGCCAGTGCCAACAACGGCAGCTCCGAGCCAAACCCCATCGCGTCGGGTCAAGCTAGTCCTGTCACTGGACAGCACAGCACAGCCACAGACACAACCTGGGAGACCCCCGAAGTACCTTGGGTTGTTTCTGGGGCCTCAAGTTCTGAAAGCAACTTCGGGACTAACGCCATAATCGTGGCTGGAATCGTGGCATATTTCGCGCCGATACTGATCTATCTTTAATTATACGTGAACCCATCAGATTTGGGTGGCAGTCATCAAGAAGCGTTGTCTGCTTAAAACGTTCTGGTAGAGAGGATGCGGAGTGGGGCATGGGTTATACATAATGCAATAACTATTAGACATTACTCATCTATATCCTTTATAGGTCTGCCTGTTAACAAAACTTTTATTTTAAGTATGCTCTTACTCGGAATAATAATATACTGCCCGGATTGACTTTAATAAGAGTGTTATTCTAAGTTAATAGTCCCCACAGCTAATAGCTTATATCACGCGCCTTACACACGCTGCCTGGAATGAATCCTGTTAATATATAATTTACTTCTAAAAGATAAATATACTGCTATTCAGAGTCCTTGATAATTGCCTCTTTTAGCAAGGAAAGAGACAGAAGTCTTAAGATATAAAATAACGTAATGTAATTTTAAAAAGTTCTTGATATCAGGAAGTTCAAGAGCGCCCCACTAGCCACACGCCTTAACAGCCAATAGTTAAATCTCAAATCCCTGGTTGTTAATCCTCTAGTCTTAGCCCTATTTAAGTTAATCCCTTAAGAATCATTTAAGCAGATAAACCGTTTTTAAGTAGAATGTTCTTCAGTGTTAATTATCTGCTGATTAACTTTTTCAGGGTACTCATAGCTAGAGCAGAATCTAGTTAGAATTAAAATACTGTTCTAAAACCTGATATATATATAGTACTTAAATTTCCATTAAGATCAGTAATAATAAGTAGTAACTTTACTATTATCAGTTTAGTTTACTGACAACTGACATCAGTTTATTGGCTGTGTCGCTAACCCTAAGCGTAATGCCTAGCTGCTAAGGATTATACTGGTCATCTGCCTAATATATTCATTCCTTAAGGGTGGCTGACAGATAATGCTTACTTATATCAGGCGCCTGAGTTCAGGATGTGGATAATGGAACAGTTATGAGTATCCTTTTCGGCTAGTACAGGCTGAAAGGGTTCTAATGTCAAATTCCGCGATAAAGTGAGGACTGTTGCCATAGCGGAAATAGTTCTGAGATCTGTTCTTAGAAAATTGAAGAAGAAGAGAGGATAACAGGACAGGCAAAATAGGATCTAACTTTACTAATATAAATAGATTAGCCAGTTAGAGAAGTATATATATAATTCAACATTTAGACCCTTTATGGCTAGTACGCTCTAGAACTTACCGAGTATGACATAATTAGCCCAATGTGTTAACACGTAAAGGTCTGGGGTATACGTAAATTAGGGAAGCTAGCTTGAGCATAAATGGTTGAACTACATAATAAAAGAGGGATGTGAGGGCGTCAGGCACATGTATCTCACAGAAATTCCACTTTCAGTCACGCCGCTTTCATAGCACTTGATTCCCCTGCCAGGCTTAGGCGACCCCCTCCTGAGCCGTACTAGTCTCGCTTAATGCCTTTAACTAACTTTCAAATGCCTCAGTTGGCGGGTGTGAGATTGAGAATCTTGTCAGTAGATGTGATTGGAACAAAACCACCGAGGTAATGGCGGCGCAAATCACGGATATACTTAGCGCCAGTGTTCTGTGTTTCTAGGTTCTCTCTGCCGGAA